GCGTGGACATCATTCGGCCGCTCACGATTCCCGGCCATGGCGCCGGCAGCGTGAAGAGGCGCATCTTGGTGGCGCTATACAACTACACGGCGCGCGAAGAGACGGACGTAAGCTTCCAGAAGGGCGACCGAATGGAGGTGCTGGACGACACGGAGTCCGACTGGTGGCGCGTCGTGCACTCTACAATGGACTCTCTGCTGGCCTGCAGCGACAGATGGCCTTTGCGTCCGTGCGCCTGGGCTGTTATGACACCGTGAAGTTGCTCTATCAGGGTGTGTTGCACGAGAATCCTGAGGGTCTGCAAATCTTCACTCGTGTGCTGGCGGGCCTGACCACGGGCGGCATGGCTGTGATGCTGGCACAGCCCACAGATGTTGTAAAGGTGCGCTTCCAGGCGCAAAATCGTACCACAGCCTCACCAACCGCCGAGTTAATAGCAGAATATAATTAGTAAAAAAAATTACCAACAAGTATCTTTGCTGCCCACAATCATGCTGAGCGTCTTCTGCGATATCAGACGCATCGTGTGCGTAGGTATTGCCGCCACGTATAGTACGCAAATAAGGTTGTCCTTCTGCACGAGCGCGTGACACTTGTGGTAATCCGAGCACCAGTTGACTCTGCGTGCACGGCCAAGCTGCCCAGGTAGTCGTCAATCATGTCCACTGCCTGGTGGAAGAAGGTGCGCAGGATGTCCAGTCGGTGGGCTCCGGAGACGCTTCTCTTGCCCGTGCTGGATTGCTGAATGTTCCTGGAGATCACATATTTTGCCTGGGCGCGGTTGATCAGCAAGATACCCAAGATTCCTGCGTCCAATTCCAGACTGGCAGGAAAATTGCGTGGGAAGCACTGCTCCGCCAACTCCAGTGTCTTCAAGTCTGGCCGCCAGGACTCTTCTGCGGCAAAAACACTGGCGTGTCCTTTTGTAGGGAACTCGAAGTGGCAATGAGTGTGAACGGCCAAGGTGCGCTTGCAGGTCCAGGGCGAGGGCCAGGTGAGGGTACCGCTGGCCACAGCCACGGCCAACGGAGCAACAGCGGTGGTCAGTTCCGGCGCGTGTTCCGGGCAAAAGTGCTCTAAAAGACAAGACAAAAAATTCAATTGCCAACAAAAAATTGCAAATGTTCTAATTATCACATAATATTCAAAGAATTAGAATTTTTTTTAAAGAAATACTTCACATGAATTTAAAGAGTTTTGTCTAGATCCTTAAAGAAAGAAAAACTCAAGCAAAATGCTTAATATTAATTTGACCAAAAATTTTCCGCATGCTGCACTTTATGTAAATTATATGAGTGTTGTTTTCCAGAAGTATATTTTGAAGTGGAACATTTTTTAATTAAGCGCTATTTTTGCATTTAATTACAGCATCAGTCATTTATTTAATCAATTTCTATTGCAATCACTCTCCAGCAAATACATCTCACTGGAAATTTTACTCGCAGAGATCTGCTTACAAAAGCACTTAATTTCTACGTCTTGAGATTGATAAAGCATTGCTAAAGAAAAACTTATTTCTTCTCGCAGGGCACTCTACAATGGACTCTCTGCTGGCCTGCAGCGACAGATGGCCTTTGCGTCCGAGCGCCTGGGCTGTTATGACACCGTGAAGTTGCTCTATCAGGGTGTGTTGCACGAGAATCCTGAGGGTCTGCAAATCTTCACTCGTGTGCTGGCGGGCCTGACCACGGGCGGCATGGCTGTGATGCTGGCACAGCCCACAGATGTTGTAAAGGTGCGCTTCCAGGCGCAAAATCGTACCACAGCCTCACCAACCGCCGAGTTAATAGCAGAATATAATTAGTAAAAAAAATTACCAACAAGTATCTTTGCTGCCCACAATCATGCTGAGCGTCTTCTGCGATATCAGACGCATCGTGTGCGTAGGTATTGCCGCCACGTATAGTACGCAAATAAGGTTGTCCTCCTGCACGAGCGCGTGACACTTGTGGTAATCCGAGCACCAGTTGACTCTGCGTGCACGGCCAAGCTGCCCAGGTAGTCGTCAATCATGTCCACTGCCTGGTGGAAGAAGGTGCGCAGGATGTCCAGTCGGTGGGCTCCGGAGACGCTTCTCTTGCCCGTGCTGGATTGCTGAATGTTCCTGGAGATCACATATTTTGCCTGGGCGCGGTTGATCAGCAAGATACCCAAGATTCCTGCGTCCAATTCCAGACTGGCAGGAAAATTGCGTGGGAAGCACTGCTCCGCCAACTCCAGTGTCTTCAAGTCTGGCCGCCAGGACTCTTCTGCGGCAAAAACACTGGCGTGTCCTTTTGTAGGGAACTCGAAGTGGCAATGAGTGTGAACGGCCAAGGTGCGCTTGCAGGTCCAGGGCGAGGGCCAGGTGAGGGTACCGCTGGCCACAGCCACGGCCAACGGAGCAACAGCGGTGGTCAGTTCCGGCGCGTGTTCCGGGCAAAAGTGCTCTAAAAGACAAGACAAAAAATTCAATTGCCAAGAAAAAATTGCAAATGTTCTAATTATCACATAATATTCAAAGAATTAGAATTTTTTTTAAAGAAATACTTCACATGAATTTAAAGAGTTTTGTCTAGATCCTTAAAGAAAGAAAAACTCAAGCAAAATGCTTAATATTAATTTGACCAAAAATTTTCCGCATGCTGCACTTTATGTAAATTATATGAGTGTTGTTTTCCAGAAGTATATTTTGAAGTGGAACATTTTTTAATTAAGCGCTATTTTTGCATTTAATTACAGCATCAGTCATTTATTTAATCAATTTCTATTGCAATCACTCTCCAGCAAATACATCTCACTGGAAATTTTACTCGCAGAGATCTGCTTACAAAAGCACTTAATTTCTACGTCTTGAGATTGATAAAGCATTGCTAAAGAAAAACTTATTTCTTCTCGCAGGGCACTCTACAATGGACTCTCTGCTGGCCTGCAGCGACAGATGGCCTTTGCGTCCGAGCGCCTGGGCTGTTATGACACCGTGAAGTTGCTCTATCAGGGTGTGTTGCACGAGAATCCTGAGGGTCTGCAAATCTTCACTCGTGTGCTGGCGGGCCTGACCACGGGCGGCATGGCTGTGATGCTGGCACAGCCCACAGATGTTGTAAAGGTGCGCTTCCAGGCGCAAAATCGTACCACAGCCTCACCAACCGCCGAGTTAATAGCAGAATATTAATAGTAAAAAAAATTACCAACAAGTATCTTTGCTGCCCACAATCATGCTGAGCGTCTTCTGCGATATCAGACGCATCGTGTGCGTAGGTATTGCCGCCACGTATAGTACGCAAATAAGGTTGTCCTTCTGCACGAGCGCGTGACACTTGTGGTAATCCGAGCACCAGTGGACTCTGCGTGCACGGCCAAGTTGCCCAGGTAGTCGTCAATCATGTCCACTGCCTGGTGGAAGAAGGTGCGCAGGATGTCCAGTCGGTGGGCTCCGGAGACGCTTCTCTTGCCCGTGCTGGATTGCTGAATGTTCCTGGAGATCACATATTTTGCCTGGGCGCGGTTGATCAGCAAGATGCCCAAGATTCCTGCGTCCAATTCCAGACTGGCAGGAAAATTGCGTGGGAAGCACTGCTCCGCCAACTCCAGTGTCTTCAAGTCTGGCCGCCAGACCTGATGCACCAGGTTTTCAACGTCTTTGTAGGGCGGCTCGGCGCCGCACAAGAGGCAAATATTGATGTTTTGCAGAATAGGAATTGACACGAGTCTGTAGGCGATCGTTGGACTCTTCTGCGGCAAAAACACTGGCGTGTCCTTTTGTAGGGAACTCGAAGTGGCAATGAGTGTGAACAGAAGCTGTCGATCATCGGGGTGCAAATCCCACCAGGCTTCGGTGGCAGCGGAAATCCTCTGTCAGATCATTAAACAAGCATAATCTGAGCCAAATTGACCACAGAACTCTGTCAGTTTTTCAAGAATTGCTGCATTTTGTGGACTGAGAATGCAATCCGTAAAGCCAATGAGTTCACAATCTGCACTCTCGAGGAGATGATCGATGACACTCCAGGCCGGCTGGAGTTCTCTCTTCAGGCGCTCCACTGAGTGATAGTTCTCCAGTTCTGGCAGGCCCACAGTGAAGATCATGCTGCTAAAAGTGGAGTTTATTAGGCGCCTGAGGACTTTCTCGCCAATTCCCCGGCTAAAACCCACGACCAGGAAGGTGTCTGCGAACTCCTGCCACACCAGAAGGCCATCATCCCACGCTGTACTCCTCAGATTTTGTCCCTGACTTATGTGAACACCATTGAGAGATCCATTGAGAGGTCGAGAAGGAGAGCTAAAAAATACAAATTCCGGGCATTTTAGTGCTTTCTAAATTTCATGTTGATCTGTAAACAACACTCACATTCTCACCTTCTCCTTTCTTGCGCGTGAATATCGGGATGCCACCGGACAGTGTAAGGCATATTAATTGAGTTGACATGCCTCCCGGGGGATTTTGGACGGAAGAATGGGGTCAATGGAGGGCAATAACTGGGTAAATTAATTATTTGACTGATGGAAAAAGATGCAAAATGGCGGGTTTGTGTACATCTGCTGCATGGCTGCCAACATTGCTCTACTGTCCCACGAATTGTTCCCCAATAATACGATATGGGTTGGGTAAGGATCAAATAAGAATACTTTCAAGTGGCGTGGACATCATTCGGCCGCTCACGATTCCCGGCCATGGCGCCGGCAGCGTGAAGAGGCGCATCTTGGTGGCGCTATACAACTACACGGCGCGCGAAGAGACGGACGTAAGCTTCCAGAAGGGCGACCGAATGGAGGTGCTGGACGACACGGAGTCCGACTGGTGGCGCGTCGTGCACTCTACAATGGACTCTCTGCTGGCCTGCAGCGACAGATGGCCTTTGCGTCCGTGCGCCTGGGCTGTTATGACACCGTGAAGTTGCTCTATCAGGGTGTGTTGCACGAGAATCCTGAGGGTCTGCAAATCTTCACTCGTGTGCTGGCGGGCCTGACCACGGGCGGCATGGCTGTGATGCTGGCACAGCCCACAGATGTTGTAAAGGTGCGCTTCCAGGCGCAAAATCGTACCACAGCCTCACCAACCGCCGAGTTAATAGCAGAATATAATTAGTAAAAAAATTACCAACAAGTATCTTTGCTGCCCACAATCATGCTGAGCGTCTTCTGCGATATCAGACGCATCGTGTGCGTAGGTATTGCCGCCACGTATAGTACGCAAATAAGGTTGTCCTTCTGCACGAGCGCGTGACACTTGTGGTAATCCGAGCACCAGTGGACTCTGCGTGCACGGCCAAGTTGCCCAGGTAGTCGTCAATCATGTCCACTGCCTGGTGGAAGAAGGTGCGCAGGATGTCCAGTCGGTGGGCTCCGGAGACGCTTCTCTTGCCCGTGCTGGATTGCTGAATGTTCCTGGAGATCACATATTTTGCCTGGGCGCGGTTGATCAGCAGATACCCAAGATTCCTGCCGTCCAATTCAGACTGGCTAGGAAAAGCGTGGAAGCACTGCTCCCGACAACTCCAGTGTCTTCAAAGTCTGGCCGCCAGCGACTCTTCGCGGCAAAAACACTCGGCGTGTCCTTTTGTAGGGAAACTCGAAGTGGGGGGGGGGGGACAATGAGGTGAACGGCCAAGGGTGCGCCCTTGCAGGTCCAGGGCGAGCGGGCCAGGTGAGGGTACCGCTGGCCACAGCCACGGCCAACGGAGCAACAGCGGTGGTCAGTTCCGGCGCGTGTTCCGGGCAAAAGTGCTCTAAAAGACAAGACAAAAAATTCAATTGCCAAGAAAAAATTGCAAATGTTCTAATTATCACATAATATTCAAAGAATTAGAATTTTTTTTAAAGAAATACTTCACATGAATTTAAAGAGTTTTGTCTAGATCCTTAAAGAAAGAAAAACTCAAGCAAAATGCTTAATATTAATTTGACCAAAAATTTTCCGCATGCTGCACTTTATGTAAATTATATGAGTGTTGTTTTCCAGAAGTATATTTTGAAGTGGAACATTTTTTAATTAAGCGCTATTTTTGCATTTAATTACAGCATCAGTCATTTATTTAATCAATTTCTATTGCAATCACTCTCCAGCAAATACATCTCACTGGAAATTTTACTCGCAGAGATCTGCTTACAAAAGCACTTAATTTCTACGTCTTGAGATTGATAAAGCATTGCTAAAGAAAAACTTATTTCTTCTCGCAGGGCACTCTACAATGGACTCTCTGCTGGCCTGCAGCGACAGATGGCCTTTGCGTCCGAGCGCCTGGGCTGTTATGACACCGTGAAGTTGCTCTATCAGGGTGTGTTGCACGAGAATCCTGAGGGTCTGCAAATCTTCACTCGTGTGCTGGCGGGCCTGACCACGGGCGGCATGGCTGTGATGCTGGCACAGCCCACAGATGTTGTAAAGGTGCGCTTCCAGGCGCAAAATCGTACCACAGCCTCACCAACCGCCGAGTTAATAGCAGAATATAATTAGTAAAAAAAATTACCAACAAGTATCTTTGCTGCCCACAATCATGCTGAGCGTCTTCTGCGATATCAGACGCATCGTGTGCGTAGGTATTGCCGCCACGTATAGTACGCAAATAAGGTTGTCCTCCTGCACGAGCGCGTGACACTTGTGGTAATCCGAGCACCAGTTGACTCTGCGTGCACGGCCAAGCTGCCCAGGTAGTCGTCAATCATGTCCACTGCCTGGTGGAAGAAGGTGCGCAGGATGTCCAGTCGGTGGGCTCCGGAGACGCTTCTCTTGCCCGTGCTGGATTGCTGAATGTTCCTGGAGATCACATATTTTGCCTGGGCGCGGTTGATCAGCAAGATACCCAAGATTCCTGCGTCCAATTCCAGACTGGCAGGAAAATTGCGTGGGAAGCACTGCTCCGCCAACTCCAGTGTCTTCAAGTCTGGCCGCCAGGACTCTTCTGCGGCAAAAACACTGGCGTGTCCTTTTGTAGGGAACTCGAAGTGGCAATGAGTGTGAACGGCCAAGGTGCGCTTGCAGGTCCAGGGCGAGGGCCAGGTGAGGGTACCGCTGGCCACAGCCACGGCCAACGGAGCAACAGCGGTGGTCAGTTCCGGCGCGTGTTCCGGGCAAAAGTGCTCTAAAAGACAAAGAAAAAATTCAATTGCCAAGAAAAAATTGCAAATGTTCTAATTATCACATAATATTAACGAATTAGAAATTTGTTTTAAAGAAATACTTCAATGAATTTAAAGAAGTTTGTCTAGATCATTTAAAGAAAGAAAAACTCAAGCAAAATGCTTAATATTAATTTGACCAAAAAAATTTCCGCATGCGCACTTTTGTAAATTATATGTAGTGTTGTTTCAGAAGTATATTTTGAAGTGGAACATTTTTTAATTAAGCGCTATTTTTGCATTTAATTACAGCATCAGTCATTTATTTAATCAATTTCTATTGCAATCACTCTCCAGCAAATACATCTCACTGGAAATTTTACTCGCAGAGATCTGCTTACAAAAGCACTTAATTTCTACGTCTTGAGATTGATAAAGCATTGCTAAAGAAAAACTTATTTCTTCTCGCAGGGCACTCTACAATGGACTCTCTGCTGGCCTGCAGCGACAGATGGCCTTTGCGTCCGAGCGCCTGGGCTGTTATGACACCGTGAAGTTGCTCTATCAGGGTGTGTTGCACGAGAATCCTGAGGGTCTGCAAATCTTCACTCGTGTGCTGGCGGGCCTGACCACGGGCGGCATGGCTGTGATGCTGGCACAGCCCACAGATGTTGTAAAGGTGCGCTTCCAGGCGCAAAATCGTACCACAGCCTCACCAACCGCCGAGTTAATAGCAGAATATTAATAGTAAAAAAAATTACCAACAAGTATCTTTGCTGCCCACAATCATGCTGAGCGTCTTCTGCGATATCAGACGCATCGTGTGCGTAGGTATTGCCGCCACGTATAGTACGCAAATAAGGTTGTCCTTCTGCACGAGCGCGTGACACTTGTGGTAATCCGAGTACCAGTGGACTCTGCGTGCACGGCCAAGTTGCCCAGGTAGTCGTCAATCATGTCCGCTGCCTGGTGGAAGAAGGTGCGCAGGATGTCCAGTCGGTGGGCTCCGGAGACGCTTCTCTTGCCCGTGCTGGATTGCTGAATGTTCCTGGAGATCACATATTTTGCCTGGGCGCGGTTGATCAGCAAGATGCCCAAGATTCCTGCGTCCAATTCCAGACTGGCAGGAAAATTGCGTGGGAAGCACTGCTCCGCCAACTCCAGTGTCTTCAAGTCTGGTCGCCAGACCTGATGCACCAGGTTTTCAACGTCTTTGTAGGGCGGCTCGGCGCCGCACAAGAGGCAAATATTGATGTTTTGCAGAATAGGAATTGACACGAGTCTGTAGGCGATCGTTGGACTCTTCTGCGGCAAAAACACTGGCGTGTCCTTTTGTAGGGAACTCGAAGTGGCAATGAGTGTGAACAGAAGCTGTCGATCATCGGGGTGCAAATCCCACCAGGCTTCGGTGGCAGCGGAAATCCTCTGTCAGATCATTAAACAAGCATAATCTGAGCCAAATTGACCACAGAACTCTGTCAGTTTTTCAAGAATTGCTGCATTTTGTGGACTGAGAATGCAATCCGTAAAGCCAATGAGTTCACAATCTGCACTCTCGAGGAGATGATCGATGACACTCCAGGCCGGCTGGAGTTCTCTCTTCAGGCGCTCCACTGAGTGATAGTTCTCCAGTTCTGGCAGGCCCACAGTGAAGATCATGCTGCTAAAAGTGGAGTTTATTAGGCGCCTGAAGACTTTCTCGCCAATTCCCCGGCTAAAACCCACGACCAGGAAGGTGTCTGCGAACTCCTGCCACACCAGAAGGCCATCATCCCACGCTGTACTCCTCAGATTTTGTCCCTGACTTATGTGAACACCATTGAGAGATCCATTGAGAGGTCGAGAAGGAGAGCTAAAAAATACAAATTCCGGGCATTTTAGTGCTTTCTAAATTTCATGTTGATCTGTAAACAACACTCACATTCTCACCTTCTCCTTTCTTGCGCGTGAATATCGGGATGCCACCGGACAGTGTAAGGCATATTAATTGAGTTGACATGCCTCCCGGGGGATTTTGGACGGAAGAATGGGGTCAATGGAGGGCAATAACTGGGTAAATTAATTATTTGACTGATGGAAAAAGATGCAAAATGGCGGGTTTGTGTACATCTGCTGCATGGCTGCCAACATTGCTCTACTGTCCCACGAATTGTTCCCCAATAATACGATATGGGTTGGGTAAGGATCAAATAAGAATACTTTCAAGTGACCATAAAAGAAACCTTGTAGGACATTGTGAAGGACGAAAATTGATTAATTAGTCCATAAGTGCGGCATTGCTTGATCGCAAGCAGTTTTGCTAATTCGAGTGTGGGACATTGACAGTTGTCAGCGCGCAGCTGTCATGGCTGTACTTTTTCTCGTAGTTTTGTGGGGCTCCAGCAGAACAAAGTGAAATTTTCAGCAATTTCTCTCACTCTCACACCCCAGATCGCGACGTGGTGAACTTATTCATATGATTTGTCACCCCGCGATCGGTTTTTCGAGTGTGTAGCGCGCGCGTGTGTGGTGTGTGTTGTTGATTGCGGGGGCGCGCAGTGTGTGTCGCGATGGGGAATAATTGCTGCACAAAGCGGCATCAGCAGGACTTCGCCGTGGCCACGGCTACAGGCTACAAAATGAACGAAGCGGCCTTCATGCCGCACGCTAAGCAGCTGAACAGCGGCTCATTGGAGTACCGTTACACACCGGATCCTAACATTGTGCAGTTGAAGCTCACGGCCAAGAGTGGCGTGGACATCATTCGGCCGCTCACGATTCCCGGCCATGGCGCCGGCAGCGTGAAGAGGCGCATCGTGGTGGCGCTATACAACTACACGGCGCGCGAGGAGACGGACGTGAGCTTCCAGAAGGGCGACCGAATGGAGGTGCTGGACGACACGGAGTCCGACTGGTGGCGCGTCGTGCACCTCACGAGCCGCCGCGAGGGGCTCATTCCGTGGAACTTTGTCGCCGAAGAGCGCAGCGTCAACAGTGAAGAGTAAGTGAATCCGCCCCCTAAACTGCCCGGATGCTTTTAAGCCCTCTCAAGGTCAATTTTTCACACTTTTCAAACAGTAGAGTCTTTGCAACAGAAGTTTAAATAGATTTTACCAGAATTTACCAATATTTCGTTATTTCATGTCAAAATGGAAAAAATAATAGTTGGTTTAGGTACACGAATCAAAATTGATTTTGAATCAACCACTGTGTCAATCTTGTCTGCAAATGCAAGATTAAGAATGTTGCCTTAATGTTGTAAATAAGACCAAATTCACGATGTTATTTACACAAAATTTATCTCAATTGTAATTGACCTACCCACTCAAATTTCTGACTTGATCCTCGCTGTTTGCATTAGACTAAGGGGGTAACACGGAGGTGAACGTGAAATAGTCTTCTCGTGATCGCGGAGTGGAACAATGCAGTGCCGATAGAGGCAGTAGACTCAGCGAGGTGGGTGGTATGGCAGACGGAGTTGGTCGCATAGATGCTAGTCCCAATGGAATTGAAACTTTATTTTGAAAAATTCAACAGAATTTTAACACAGGGTAAAAACATTGGACATTAATTGACATTTTCCTTCTCTTCCAGCTGGTATTTCGAGAACGTGTCGCGCAAGGAGGCGGACAAGCTGCTACTAGCGGAAGAGAATCCTCGCGGAACATTCCTGGTGCGCCCGTCTGAGCACAATCCCAACGGATTCTCTCTGTCGGTAAAGGACTGGGAGAACACGCGTGGCTTCCACGTGAAGCACTACAAAATCAAGCCACTGGACAACGGGGGCTTCTACATCGCCACCAATCAGACGTTTCCGTCCCTTCCGGCCCTCGTTATGGCTTACAGCAGTGAGTGTCCGCGAGACGCGCAATTTGCGTGCAGATTTGCGCCCCATCAGCATAATTAGATCAATTAGAGATGTTGCCACAAGTGATAAAACACTCGGCATAACTCGGCGAATGAGTTATTGCTGTGATAACGCGACTAATGTGGATTTGATAAGGCGTGTGTGTGTGATGTAATGAGAATGTCTTACGATTGCTGATGTTGTAAATATTGCTAGAAATTTGTAGTGTGGTTTCCAAAGGCGATTTTACTGTCGTAAATGATTGACTAAGTGCAATCTTTTGCACAGCGAATGAGTGGATAAGAAAATGCAGGTTTTATCACTGGATTCAACCGCAAAGTCTTGTTTGATAATTCAGAATGGGAAGTTTTCTTGTATGAGCTTGCATAGATATTTTTCCCCTTGTCTTGTGTGTACACTTAACTACACATATAGTGGCCTTATAGTGCAGTTGGTAGCGCGTTCGCTTGGCAATGCAGAGGTCCCGAGATCAAGTCTCGTCGAATGCATTATTGAGATCCCCTTTGCATATATAGGACCATATACTACACCTTTATAAAGAAAAAAGATCCCTCATTCATGCTCCGCAATGAAAATATATTGTACAAAGGTTGTGAATAATTAAGTGCTTGTATCGATTGAAACAAATAATCTTGGAAATTCACGAGGTGTGGAGGGGGGAGGTTAGGGAAGAGGAAAATAGGGGGGGGGAAAGGGGGGGAAGTCTTAATTTAAATGATTGATTGAATGAAAAATTATGGAATCGTTCCCTACTATAGAAGAATAAAACAAAACAAATAGGTAAAAAAAAATATCAGAAGAGATTCGTGTGGATAGATAGAGATAGAGAGAAATAGATAATACACAACAAAAAAGGGCTTCACCGCCAGAGAAAAAAGAGCCCCTAGGAGGAGGAGGAGGTGTGTGTAGGTGTGTGTCTCTAATAGGGGTAGGTAAGAGGTGTCCTTAACAAGTTTTCACCAAACTCTGGCATGTATATGTATGTAGATATATCATTATACATCTCCACAATATAAAAATCATCTATCTAAAATTACACCTGCTTGTAAAACTCACTTTCTCTTCTCTCTGTCCACAGAAAACGCTCTTGGTCTGTGTCACATCCTGTCGCGTCCGTGTCCAAAGCCACAGCCGCAGATGTGGGATTTGGGCCCGGAGTTGCGCGACAAGTGGGAGATTCCACGCTCGGAGATCCAGCTGATCCGGAAGCTGGGTCGCGGCAACTTCGGCGAGGTGTACTACGGCAAATGGCGCAACAGCATTGATGTGGCCGTGAAGACGCTGCGCGAGGGCAGCATGTCGACACAGGCGTTCCTCGAGGAGGCGGCCATCATGAAGAAGTTCCGTCACAATCGTCTGATCGCGTTGTACGCCGTGTGCTCACAGGAGGAGCCCATCTACATTGTGCAGGAGTACATGTCCAAGGGCAGTCTGTTGGACTTCCTGCGCACGGGCGAGGGGCAGTTTCTGCAATTTGCCGATCTCATCTACATTGCGGCACAGATTGCCAGCGGCATGGAGTATCTGGAGAGCAAACAGCTGATCCATCGCGATCTGGCGGCCCGGAATGTGTTGATTGGCGAAAACAACATTGCAAAGATCTGCGACTTTGGACTGGCGCGTGTGATTGCGGACAATGAGTACTGTCCGAAGCAAGGTTCGCGCTTCCCGGTGAAGTGGACGGCACCAGAGGCGATCATCTACGGCAAGTTCTCCATCAAGTCGGACGTGTGGTCGTTCGGCATTCTGCTAATGGAGCTGTTCACCTATGGCCAGGTGCCGTATCCCGGCATGCACAGCCGCGAGGTGATAGAACAGGTAGAGCAGGGCTACAGGATGCCACAGCCGGCGGGCTTCAATCTGCCCACGGAGATCTATCACCTGATGCTGCAGTGCTGGGACAGAGTTCCCGAGAAACGGCCAACCTTTGAGTTTCTCAATCACTATTTCGAGAACTTCACTGTGACATCGGAGGTACCGTACCGGGAAGTTCATTAGACACAACAATCACACACACACCCACACAGATCACTCTATCGACTGGTTTCCCGGCCACTGGTGTCTCCTTGGTAAGCAACTGTATTGGGTGATTTTCCCATTTTAAATCACAAAAGTGTTCACGTTTCCCGGAGTTCAGCAGATTTCCATGGCAAGAAATCATTAATAAATACCGACAATTTAGACATAATAGATTCTATATATTTCAATTTCACTTCACAAGCAATTTAATGTTTTTTTTCCCGAATGAAAGGAAACGTGAATTATTTTTTGCATCTCTACATACAATTCCATGAAACAAATTCCTGATAAAAACCACAGACTGAGCAGATTTCAGAAAGACTTATTTTAAGTGAATTCTCAAAGAATGCCGTCATAGTATTTACAATAAGAATTAAAACCAGTGTGTATTTATCCACAGAGGCTAGAATAATTTGATTTTCATTTGATTAATTAAAACTGAAGAAATATGTGGATATGCTTAATGGGAAAATGATGCAGTAAAACAGTTGCTTTGTAGTGAATTGACGGTAAAATTAAGAATCTTTCCCTCGACTTTTCCCATTTTTTTGCGGAAGGACTTTATATTTTAAGACTTCTTTATTTTTAAAAGACTACTTTTAATGCGCATTTACCCAAGTGAAAATATTATATTGTAAAGTTAGACGTTTTCATCATTTATTCTATTTTATAAAAAAAAACTTGTAATTTTACTTTATACAAATATAAATATTTATTTTATAAGAATTATATAATTGTATTTAAAGAGATGAAAAGAAGTGAAAGAAAGATCTAATATTATTGTAAAACCATCGTTAATTAGTGAAAAAGAAAGTGAAGAAAAAAATGAAAAATCCAAATCTCCATGCCAAAAACAAGATTTTAAGAAAAGCACACGCAAAAGCTAAAAAAACAATGTGAATAGAAATTGGACGCTATTTCTCGACTTTATCACACATTTTTCTCAAGAAAAGGGGAAATAAAAAACCGATTTCTTATCGATAACGTTAATTTAAATGTTTCGTCTCAAGTGAGAGCACAAATTTTGATGGTGGAGAAAAGCAAAAGTAATCATACAAAGATTAAAAGCCGCGAAAAAGTAGTTTTTACATTTTGACACTAGAAATAATTTGAAAAAGATAGCAAAAAATGGCTGATTGAACATAATCGTTCATTACAATATCCACATTCAAAACCGAAAGGTGAAAATACAAAGATTTACAGTGAGAATAGAACGAAATAACTACTAAATAGAGGCAAAACATAGCATTTGTATTTGTATAAAAATATATATACATGTAGAGACTAAAAAGAAATGATAATCGTAATTGTGTAATCCAAACTTTTTTAATAAGACGTGTCGTGAAATGATTTTTTAATTATGAATCAGAACAAGAAAAAAACAATACACAAAGATTATGGCTTTCATTGCAAATTGAGGCACAAAAACACAAGTATTTTCGCATTCAAAAAAAAAAGTAAACAAAGATTCTAGTCAGAAGAAGAAACTCACACACGAACATCACGAATTGATAACGTTAATAAAGCGAAACATGACACTGTTTTTCTTTTGGATGTTGAGCATTTCCTTTTCGACACATGAACAACACAATCTCTCTTCTACCCAGTTTCAATCGTGACTATTATCTATTGTACACACAGAAAGACACATTTTTTAGAAATAAAGTAAATTAGAAGTAAATATAATTTTTGGCTTTCACTCATCGTTGACAGGAAATTTTCAAAACTGTTGTATTTTTGAAGTAATTGCCCTCTAGATTTAGCAGGTATTTAAACCAACATATTCAAATTAACCTCAAAGTGGAAACAATGACTTTAGCGCGAAAAAAAGGCATTTGTCTCACGACTTACGAAGAACATCTTGATTATCTCATGACGCAGTCTGAGCCCGGTTCAGAATCTTATTTGTAATTTACCAGTTACAAATAAGTTTTTAAAATATATACTGCCACGATATTATGATCATCATGCTTTATAAATCCACCAATGAAAATTCAGAAAAAATCTTGCAATTAAAGAACAAAAAACAGTAAGAATTTTCTCTTTAGTATTTTTTTTTCTTATTTTTACTAAAACTACACCTGAATTACATCTTTACATAGTTCTTGTTGAGAATTGATCCTAAAGAGACTTCTGTGAACAAAAAATACATTTTTGACTTTTTCTCAAGTACGTAATTCATAAATTACACAAATTGCATTTCGAAAAACTTCTATATTTCTTTTCACCAGCTTTGTGATTCCGCATGAAAAAATACCCTTATCTTATCGACATTATTAAACTAATAGCTCTTCAGCGCTACTCAAATAAAATTAATAGTTCAAATGAAAATTAAAGAATGAGAGATTTGACAATATAAAAAAAACCATCACGGAAAGTATTTGTGAAATTATTGTTTAGACTGAATTCCGTCACGCGGAATGTTTCTTTCCTCCTTCTTCCCTCTTCTGTAGTTTTTCTTTTTAAATTAAACAATCACACACGCACTTTTTCTATTATTTCACACGCACACAAATTTATATCTCTAAATTTCACATAATTTATCTCTTAGCAGTGGGAAATTCTCTTTTCCCCTCCCTTTTCCACACCAGAGTTCGTGACATGAATTTTCAATAATGCATTTAGAGAAAAAAATTATAATAGCACATTAATAATAAATTGAGAGAGAATGAGAAACTAAACACTAAATCAATTCAAACTAAGTGCGTGGTTTCTTAATCGAAGCGATGACTTCTGCCAGACTGCGAGTAGCCGTTTGTCATGGCGCCGCCACCGCCGCCACCACCATAACCACCACCGCTACCGCCGGAACGCATTCCGCCGCCGCCATAGCGCTGCTGTCCATCATCGCGCCTTCTGCCGCCGAAGCCTCCGGAACCGGATCCGTAATTGGATGGACCACGGCGAAAGCCTCCGCCGCCACCGCCAGACCTTCCACCCCAGCGCCGGTTATCACCACCACCGCCGCCGCCATAGCGAGCCATTTCCTGCAACTTCGGGCTCACTTCCTGCAAAACAATACGAGAAGAATTGCATTAGAAAAGTGGCTGAGATGCGTGAAAAAAATCATGAAAGTTAACGTAAAATTACCAAAGATTCATATTTTTGAAGCCCTTTTTTGATAACAATATTTTCCTTCAAATCAAGGTGAGTAAATAAGTTTAGTGAATTGAATTTAATGAAAAAACAAATTTCGTATGAGCATTTCTTTGCTGATAAAAGATCATTTTCTAGAAATAAGAGATGATTTAATTGCATTGAAAACTTTTCTGTAATTTGGAATGCTATATATAGTTTAAAAAAATTTCCGTAAAATTGTAAATATAAAAAAATTGTTTTAAAACATACCTCTTAAATCACAAGTCTCTTAAGCATATTTCGGTAATTTTAAAAGAGACGATTTTATGAGTGAGCTAAAACCAATGAAAATAAATTTTTCATAGCTTGCTTTTAAAATAAATTAACTTTGTCGATTGAGTCGACAAATTTTACTAATGAAAATCTATCGAAGATAAAAAATTCAATTTAAAAGGTTTATACAATTATCAAAATTCAGAAAATTCGACATATAAATTGGACATTCAAATTGGCGATAATGATTTTTCATCCTCTTCAATCCACCTTTAGAACTTAACTTTGATGAACTCTGCCACAAAAAAAACTGTGAAATAAATCTGTTTTTTTTTTTTGACCACTAAAACGGGCTTTTGCGCACCTGATTAGCCTCTTGGAGTACCGCAATTAGATCCCTCGCCTGCTTGGAGTTCTGCTTGGTAAAAAGCGCAAAGGACGTGCCCGTGGCCTGACTTCTGCCGGTCCTGCCGATACGATGAATGTAGTCCTCGGAATTTTGCGGATAGTCGAAGTTGATGACAAAGTTGATTCCTTCCACGTCTACAAAATTGGTTTGCAACCAACAAGCAACATAAAAATTTCCCAACCACAAACCAAATTTTGTGCGCAAATGAGAAATTAGGGAAACAGAGAAGAGAAAAAAGGGAAATAATTAATAAAATATGATCAAATTTTGGCCTTACAAACTAAAAACAGAGCGAGTGAGAGAGAGAAAGACAAAAATATTAATTAAGCTGATGACAAATAATTTTTACCATCTCTTAACAATTATAAGACGAGATCAGAATGAAAACAATCTTATTTCCCTCTCTCTCACTTTTTTCTCTCTTTTTCAATGTCTCAATTTTAGAGATGATTATATTTAATTAACATTTAAAGAGATAATAATTTATCAAGTAAGGAAATTAAAAAGATTTAAAGAAAATACCAACCGTGACACCTCATCGTCTTTCATCAATTCAACATTTCTCTTTTTTCGCGCGCTTAAACACTCAACCAGTGAAAAAGTGACTCCCAGAAGAAGGATTGCAGAAGGAGCAGCGCAGATTATAGCAATGAGAAACACTCACGCAACACACACATCGAAGGATGTCCAAGAGACTTTTTTGCTCGCTCTCTCACTTTTTGTTGCCCCTTTGTTTCCCCCTCCTCTCTTTTGTACTTTTCCGTGTCACGCTCATGAACGTCCATCCGGAGACACGGAGTCACGGAGAGAGAGAGAGAGAGTGACTTCCATTGGACAGAGGCCAACATTGAGTGTGGGGATAATTTCACATCGACTCATTCATTTTTTTTTACAAGATCCCAATAATGCAAGGATCTTGTAGTCGTCAGGTCATTTCTATCCCCACTGCATCGGCCTCTGAAACAAAGGGACAATCAATAGTCCAGACTGATTATAATTGTGTGAATCCACGTTTAGCGAAGGGGCTTTTTCTTTCTTTCGTTGACATTCATCATCACATATGGGATCATCTTTTCAGCTGTTGCAGCATTTATGGAAAAGCACTTAGACAGACTTGGAAACTTTGTTCACTTATTTTATGGCAATTCTCCCCCCAAACACTAGGGATTTACGAGCGTTTATGACTCTAGAAAAAAAATACTCTATTCACAGAAGTTGATAAAACAAGTTGAAGAACACCATAAAATTCCATTTTACTCGGTCAAAACTCGTTTCTTTGATATCGATTTTTTCTTTGTTTTCATGCGTACCCAAAGCTTACTGTTTTCTCTAATCAGAGAAAAACAATTGAAAAACAATTTATGATCACGCAGAGCAATTTCATTACACAGTTAAAGATAAAATATACGGCAAATTTAGAAGCGATATAAACGTTAAATTGTCAACTATTGTCTTTCTGGATAGTAACGATTTTGTGTTTTCGTAATTTTCAATTCACCCAATTGATATGCGATAATTATAAATATTACTACTTGTGACTTGCAAGATGGTAATCATGTTTGCTGAGTTTTTTTGTCCTCTAGGGCGCATTTTTCACGTGGTATTTCTTCACTTAATTTAAAGTTCTTTCGCGAGCGATGAGAATATTTCAAATTACCTTATTGTTCATCCAAAGCCTGCACTACATATTACGCAAAATATGTTGAAATTAAGGATTGAAAGAAATTTCTTTCAAATGAGTAAATTTCGTGGATCTTGTCTAAAAAATTATATGAAACATTGACCAATCTTAACATCATTTTAGCTGTTCATCACATTAATTATTACTCTCTCTCTCTCCCTCTTGTGAGATGAGAACAAAAATTTGCTCTGTACTGAAGAAAAAATTGAAGTGAAAATCTTGCAACAATTGCTACACTCTTGCCATCCATTCATTTGATTTGCTAAATGGTCGAAAATGTCTCCAAGTCTTTCTGGCGCTCTGAGATTGTGTCTCACTCACTGAGATTATGGAGATCGAGGTCGCGACACATTCACGGAGATCCTTTATTATGCCAATGTAAACATACTTACAGACTCCGCAAACATGCCAGCTTTCTCGCATAAAAACCACGCGCGATTCAGTCTGGACTTCAGCAGGACTTCTTCGTCTTCTTCTGGCTACACACGCTGCTTCTTAAACAATATCGTCTCACCGCACGTGTCGAGCACTGCTTCGGGATTGCACTTTTTCCCCACCACACAGGAGTCACCACCTCTCGCCGCCACACTCAGCGATGTCGCCAGTGGCCCTTTATTTCGCATGTTCAGGAGATTTTTAATTTAATTGCAAATTCAAATTATCGCGAATGTTTCATTTTACAGGCTATTAAATTTAAGACATCATTATGAAGAGATTATTAGTCAAATAAATTCAATAATAATCTGAGTAATTTTCACACAGCTTGTCAATTTTGAAAACAGTCTTAAAGCCCTCAAATGACAGTTCGTTCGGTTTTGAATCTCCTGACCAGCAAAAGAGCTTTCACTGGTCGCGTGCCGTTGAGTGCGACCACGAGAGTCCGTTGGGCGTGTTTTGCCACACGTGTAAGAAAGATGTCTCTCCAGGCAGATGCGTGTCCAGAGGTTGAGACAAGGACGGGTGTGCCGACGCAAAATGGGGGGGGGGGGGGGCATAAGAAAAATATGATTTGCTACTCACCCAAACCGCGTGCCGCCACGTCCGTCGCCACTAGTATGGGACAGTCACCCTTGCGGAACTCACGCAGTACATAGTCGCGCTCATTCTGTGACTTATCACCATGAATGCAGAAGACATTCAGGCCGAAGCAGCGCAGAACGCGCGTGATGTGCTCCACCTTGCGCTTCGTCTCCACGAAGATTATGGTCTTGCCGGGGCTGCGATTCTGATGAATCTGCTCCAGGATCTGCTTCAGTTTGTCCTCCTTCTCGAACTCCTCGCAGATTTCGATGATTTGGTGGATGTTGTGATTAGCCGACAACTCCAGACTGCCAATATTCACTTGAATGTAGTCCTTACCGAGGAAGTCACCCGCCAAGCGACGCACCTCCTTCGGCCACGTTGCACTCCACATCAGTACCTGCCGGTCGGGTCGGATTTGTGAGACAATCTGCCGGATTTGTGGCTCGAAGCCCATGTCCAGCATGCGATCGGCCTCGTCCAGCACAAGATACGTGCACCGGCGCAGATTCGTTTTGCCGGACTCAAGGAAGTCAATTAGACGTCCTGGCGTAGCGATGACAATCTCACAGCCGCGCTGCAGGTCTCTGGCCTGGCTGAAACGTGGCGCGCCGCCGAAAACGCATGTGTTGCGTACATAAGATGCCGAGCCGAACTCCGTAGCCACTTGCTGGATTTGCTGGGCCAGCTCACGCGTGGGTGCCAACACAAGCGCAATGGGACCATCGCCACGCGCTAGCGACGGCTGGTTGTTGATGTGCACAATTGCCGGGAGGATGAAACCCAACGTCTTGCCGCTGCCCGTTTGTGCGATGCCCACCATGTTGGTACCGCTGAGTGCAATAGGCCAGCCTTGCGCTTGAATGGGTGTTGGCGCCTCATAGCCTTGCCTCCGGATGCCATTCATCACGTAGTCCGGGAACTTCACCTCGCCGAAGCTCTGAATGGGATTCGGCGCTGGGCCTTCGCACGTGATCTCGTGTTCGCCACGATAGCGTTCCACCTCTACATGGCTGCGCTTCATGGTAATGGGGTGGGGCTCGTAGAAATCGCGTTTGAAGGGGCGCAGACTAGACATGTCCCACGTGGGCGCTCTCATGCTGCCGATTGTGAACTTTCCGGACGGCTTGGCCACGTGACCGTCGCGATCGCGACGATTGCCGCCGCCACCGCCGCGTCCGCCGCTTCCCCCATCGGACTTCCTGTCGCGGAAACTACCTCTGTCTGAGCGTTGATGTGGTGCCCTGCAAAACCATAACCTCATATCAGTCTTCCGGATGCGCGCTCTAGCACTTTCGCCTGACGTCATACAACTAATTTACAGCTAAATACGCGCACAGAAACCAAGATGGCGTCGGCTTCTCTTTGTGTCTGTAGCCAGAAAAGTCCCCGAAAACCCACTGTTTCCCCACACAAAACTCCTACCACCCTCTCACAAATCCTCACCCAACATACTCCTAACAATATTTCACACATTTTCCCAGCGGAAAACCCCTAATTGTACTCACATGTTGTCTTCAATGAATTCCGTTTGCAATGTGGACAGACGTCTCGATATATTGCCAAATACAGCAGGTTTCACCACAATATTCCTAGAAAATGAATTACAGTACGTCTTGAGCACATTCTTAGCCACAATTCCCAGCATCGTCAGGTGGTTTTTTCAATAAAATAAGACTCGAAAATCCCAATTTTCACACGAGGTAACACGTGAACGTGACTCACCTTCTCGAAGAAAATTTCACCAAGACGTCAGGATAGTTATGTGTTGAACCACTAGAGGCGCCACGAAGCGAAAGTGGTGAAAAATCAGAGCGAAAAAAGTGGTGAATTTTTTTTGAATTTCAACAAATCGTTAGATCAACCAGAGAAAAGTTAATTTCTTTTTTAATTATTCACAAATGTTTATTTCACTTATACTTCAAGTTTTTTTTACACTCATTATTACCAATTAAATTACTTTGTTGTCCTTAAATAACTCAGTTTGATTTATTACCATTATGTTTACGTCTAATTACATTTTATCAAAGAAAGAAAATGAATTTTAGGGTGTTTTTTTCTTATTCTCTTTTTTCTTTACCTCAAAATATCTATTTCTATTAATTGTATATTCAGTTTAAACCATTACATATTTCTCAAATTACGCCCTATACACGATTCTTACTCCACTCTTCGGTCTCTAATAATAAAATATTTTATAGATTGACGATAGAAAATACACTATTTCTCAATTATTTTCACACCTTCCTAATACGCTAAAAGGTCGCTTTCGCTCTTAAATGTCCCTTTTTTCTTCGTTTTTTTTTTTACTTTAGGTACTCAGAGAGAGCTTTACTTCCTTTTTTACCTCACCACAAAAACTTAATATTTCTACGTGCCCTTTTTCTGTGTGTGGTTTTATTCAATCCAAAACGCACACATTCGAAATTATGAAATTGTGGTCCGCAATATTTATATAATTTCTGAATATTTCACGCATACAAATTCTTGCTAGAAAAAAAGATTGCGTGAATGATTCTTGTCAGATTTTGACCACAAAGTTTTATTTTACTATATTATGTCACTTTTTAGCCATTAATTCACTTTATCTTTTATTTTAAGAGACATTGAAAATTATATTTCGCGTTACCAAGTTACTCTTTCCCTTTCTTCATCTTATAATTAACTTTTTAAAAGCTTGAATGAGTGAAATTTCACATAAATATGTGAAATTTATCGTTTTCGCACTATTCCCCGTCTGAAACGTTTCTTCTTCAACTTCAATTATTGGTGCTATTAACTGTATTTTTTTATTCTTAAAATTGTATCAATTTTTTCTTTGCGTCAAAATTAAGTGCCCGCAAAATCCAAGAATACAAATTATTGCACAGGTTTTCTTCTCCATTTTCTTATGTGTGTAAATAATTAAATAAATATATATATTTTAAATTGTGTCAATAATTTGTCTTAATGGCCATGGCAAAAATGTCCTCAATTATTTCTTCTTCTTTTAATTTAAAATCAAAGAAAATTTTGGTACATAATTTTTATGAAGACTCAAGCAAAAAAGAGAAACCAATTAGTTTCTCTTTAACATTATAAAAGACAAGTTTTCAATCCAAATCTAAATTATAAAATAAATTATAAACTCTCACTTTGCATTTCTAATTCTCTTCCCCATTATTTCTTCTTTCACAATCTGAACTTTGTTCTCTTAATAAATTCAGGACATTAAAAATGGCGAAAGTAAACACAGTCTCTCAGCTACCATAAATAAAAATCATACAAAATCTTCTATATATGGTTATTATTTTTTCTTAACCTTTTCTAAAGAGATAAGAGAAGCCCAAAAAATTATAATTCTTTGCAAAAAACAGTGTTTTTTTTTCTTTCTTTCTTATAAAAATCTGTGACTTACTTTCCCCACAAATTCACATTTTTAATAAGCAGAAAAAAGTCATTCTTACACACCCAAAAAAAGTAATCAGTAAGTATTAATTCCTTTGAGGAAGTTTAGCTTTCATTTAATCTAATCCTGCTGTGTGGCTTCTTGAATAGCATAAATTGCATTTATCCTAAATAATTCCGTGTGCGTCTCTTCTGCATTATCTTCCATCTGCTGCTCATCGTTTGACGCCTATTGTCCGTGTTTATGGGGGAATTATTTCATTAAATATTTCCTAGATTTTCACCTTCAACAAGAAAACTATTCAACACAATCATTCTCTCTCTCTCTCTCTCTCTTATTTTGCAGTGTTTTTTATGCACCGTGGCAGGGAAAGTAAACACAGAGGAAAAGTTTTGATAGAGGATGAGAAATACAAGTTACCTATTATATCTTTTCTTCCATTCTTTTTCTTCCTATCCCTCTTCCTTTCTTTTCTTTCTCTCTCTCTCTCCCTCTTTCCTTACTCTCACAATAAACGAAAAAATATATGTGTGTATATAATGACTCAAATAAATTCCTTCAGGATCAATTCAGCCTGTTTTTTAATTCTCTTTCGTCGTCTTTTAGCGTCTCTCTCTTAAAATAAAAACTGCCCCGCATTATGTTTTTTCTGCGTCACACGAGAAATCATATTTTGTGTGTGTATTTTTGTGTTTGAAACTTAAATGAACATTCATTTTTTGGGAAATCCTCGCGCTCTTTTTTTCTCCTTTTATTTCACCTTTCACCCATTTTTCTATATATATATACATATATAGAAGTTATATACTCTTTATAACTGCAAAAAAGAAATTTGAAAAAGAAAAGAAAAACACACGTGTTAGTGTACAAAGAAGTCGGTAAATAAGGCAAATGAATGAAATCATAAGTGGAATAAATATGGTCTCTTATTTTTAATGCAAAAAACACGGTGAAAATAAAGATGATTGCTATCGCATTGCAAATTTATATGAGTGACAACTGAGAGTAAAATTTGATTTTTTAGTACTAAAATATCTGAGCTCTCATTTTAGCAGCTCTCGAACAAAAACTGCTAAGAATAAGTTTTAAAACTCAATCGATAAACGATCGCAACAGGCAATTGAGGAAACTCAATTACAAACATTAGGAACTTTTTTATTCGCAAAAATTCTTTCCTAGAAAATTCTCTTGAGTTTCATTTAGAATGGTATTCATTTTAGTATATATGTATTTAAATTTTTCAGTCATAATTTGCATGTTTTTTTCTTTAATTACTGTGGCAAGCAATTTTTAGAATCAGATTTATATTGGATATTATTCTTCAATTATATTATACTTCGACGTAACTAATTATGCGAGCATTGTGAATAAATCTTACTCTCTGTGACATGCGGAAAAGTCTGTAGAAACCAAAAATAAATACAGCTCAATTTTGCAATATGATAGCAGTAAAAAAATAACAGAAATCAAATAAATACCAAAGAATTTGCTGTGTTTACTTTCACTGATATTCTTGACATGTTTCATTTTGTACACAATTTTCTTGCTTTTAGTAGTAGAGACATTTTATAGTAGGAAAAAGAAATTATGGATGAATTCTATGAGTTTTTTTTTTACAAGCTAAATGGTTGTGAGAGTTCCTTCTTGGAGGAAGAGCACTACTTTCTCCAAGAAGTGTTCATTGTATTATTTTATGAATGAATTGCAATGGCAAAATGCTCGATCGATGTGTCTTATGCGATTCTCTTGAGAATTACCTGGTTCAGATTCCCAATCGTCAATTGGTGTCCCTGCAGTGCCTGAGCGTGCGTCACGGACAGCGAATTGCTGCCATCCGTCGCTTCCGCCTGACTGACCACTTGCTGCTGGCCCTCCACGAGTTGCTGCTGCTGCGATCCCGGTGGCGCCATCACCACAGTCACCGTTCCCGTGGACGTCGAGGCCGATTCTGATGACATGCTATTGGCTTTCACTGCAAAACAAAGAATCCTACTTTAGCCTGTGCCTGCAAAGTCACACTGGGAACGAGAGGCTACTAATATCACCTTAGAGTGTTACTCAGAATGCGATAAGATTTTCTTGGAAATACGACAAGAAATTTTTTTTCAATTATCGGAAAATTATAAATTCGATTCTGAGAATTTTATAAATGATTTTCGCTTTATAAGCAATTGAAAAATGTTATGATTCATTTTCGAATATATAAAAAAAAGATTTTTGAGAATCTATGTTCAAAGATGCCTTAATAAATGAACTATATAGTTCAGAAATTTTAGTATTCTTCTAAAATTTATTGAAAGCTCTTCAAAACACCCAAAATGAGTTTTCATAATAGACTCTTAATATAATCGAAAGTTATCTTAAAAACTTTTGAAATGTTAAAAGCTTTCTAATGCATTCAAAATCTTGAAAATCGCCCACAATATTTAAAATTCATATTTAAATCTCTTCAAATTGCACATATTTGACTGACAAATTCATGGAATGTCTTTGGTAATCTGCGTCTTACGTTTCTTCTCCTTTTTTGCTCCCGGACGTGAAAAATGTCTCAGCTCCAAGTGACGTCGCAAGTTACGAGATTGCCGAATAATTGCCCCACAGATTGGACACGAAGCCGGTTGTTCCGACTGAGATCGAGATTTTGGTTCTGCAAAGGAAGCAAAAATTTTAGCAGAGACACATATTTCGAAATTAGAAAACCCCAACAAATTTTTGCTCCTCACATCCAGCAATAAACTTACTGACAACATCTTGCTTCTGTTCTGGTTTTCCGGTAGTCATGCCGTTTTCTGACGTGTCCGTTTCCTGTTTGATGTCAGTACGTGGAATTTTAGCTGGAATGACAGGGAGAGGGACATAGAAAGAAGCCAATTAGTCGCCTTCATTGACAAATCACACACACATACAATATAAACACACACACAATATGGCAACATTTCGCGACGAGACGCAATTCTTTGCATTTCTCTTTGCACGATATTTCACCTGCAAGAGCAAAAAGAAGGAAGGCACATCTCTTACTAACCGAAGTACGCCATGGAGAGTTAAATGTGCAGCTAAAATGACCGCTTTACAGACCGAAAATTATGTCTCAAGGGAGAGATTAATGAACTCTCTTTGCCTCCCCAACTTTCGCGTATCGCACACAGCACAGAATATTTCCTCTGCTTTTCCTCCACTGATAAAATTAACCTGAGCAATATTCCAACTCTTCAGGGCTTGTCGCGCAACACTCTTACACTGCAGAAAAGAGCCAGTTTTGGGGGGAGAGATGCGAAACACACAAATAAAACCGTAAAAAAGTGCACAACACATTTATCAAAACATGCCTCAAAACATCTCTCTCTTGGACACACTGATGAAGAGATACGCCAAAATCTCCTTTTGGGATTTATATCAATCACACTTCCTGACCGCGTTTGCTGTGCAACAAAAGCACACACAGTATTTATGCCTTCTGTGTTTCGCACAAGAAATTCTTTGCGAGACAACGTCTGTGGTGCGCTGCAAATGTGTCGCGTTCGCAGGAGAGAAAGAGAGCCATTCACGCAGCGGCTGTAAAAAATCCGCGAATTCGAGAGCTGTGGCGAACGAGAGCGAAGGAGAGCGAGACATGGAAACGCGTCAACGGCGACCTCCATGTTCTTTCTCCACCATTTTTGAGAGTCGCACATCGCGCGAGAGTGAGAGTGCGCGAGAACGAAGCGAAATCACTCGGCGGTCTGCTTGCGACTTGCAGCCAAGAATTTATACCGGGCGAGAAATCATCTCTGGATTTTTTTATATGTGTGTGTGTACATCCAAGGGGGAGATATATGGTGTAAAGTGGTGTCAAGAAGTTGGATGTACTAAAATATTTAGTGTTGGGAATGCAGAAAGTGATAGAGACTTTTGGAAGTCACAGGAAATGTCAAGAAGTAGTGAAAATAGTTGCCTTTGCATGTGCGTATTTTTTCGATGATATAAGACGATAAAACGTCATGAAAGTATAGATGATTTTGATTGTCTGTCTTGGCGCTAAAACAAGGATGTAAAAAGGTCCTTTTTCCAGAAGAATATTGAGAAAAATTGAAAATATAGTATTCTCCGAAATGAATAACTTTTATTTTGTGGTTGCGTAGAGATGGCGCTAGGAACAGAGGCGGCGAGGGTGGTGAATAGACAAATGGTAGGGGAATACAAGATGGCGAAGACTGAGGCACCGTATGGACATATAAAATTCGAAAGAGCAGAGAATTCAGCAGGATCGACCGGAATTACAGAATACCGGACATATATCAGGGAATTTTCACTGTACTAGTATCGTTTTCTACCTCTGAACTTGACTAAATACTTATTTTCTGGGCCAACAAGCAACAACAACTTTTGACAACTCTTTCACGAATGTGCTTTTATCGTATTCTCACTTATTTTACGCCGATTGCGTGTGAAACGTAAAGCAATATTGCCGCGACTAAACAACGACGTGGTAGCAGTGCCAAAATGGGAGCAGAGGAGAATGAGAGACTCACCATTTGCAGTGGATGGCTTTCGGGTGCGTGGCTTCCTCTTCCTCGTGGGCAGAAGATGGCTAATGACATCTTTCGTCACATCCTCCGTGATCTGATCCGGTGAGATTTCTTCCACAATTTGTGCCTGCACTGCTTCGGCGGGTGACTGGATGGTGGTGATCAGCTGCTCGGACTTCTAGAAGCAAGCGCATAGCATGAAGTGTGTGTGTGTGCATCACGACGCGCCCCCGCAAGCGCCAGTACTCACGCAAGTGCTGTTGCCCACGTCGATGACCGTCTTGATGTGCTGCGGCACGATAGTGGGATGCAGCTGGATCTGGTACTGGCTCTGGTCATCCTTGTGGCTCACCGTTTGCGGCGCTAAGCCCTGTATGTTGAGGCAGTGCGCCGCCTGCAGCAGCGACGGCAGCTGCGAGTGGTCCACACTCACCTCACCACGATACACGAACTCCAGCAGCGCCTCCAAGTCGTTAGCATTCACACCGGCTAGCATCACGACCGGGTGTTTGCACGGTGTGTTCTGTCGCAAAAGAGAGAAGTGTTTACCGAGAGTCTTCTTTTGCTCTTTGAGCGCGCGTGTGGAGAGCGAGTGTGTTATCATAGGGGAGACACGGAGAATCTCTTCTACACGCGCGAGATCTCTTCAAGAGCGCCCCCCAATTGAGCAGAGCGACTGAGAGAATCTGCACACTTTCCCACAATATGAACTCAGAAATTTAACTCCAAGCTAAGGTTCTGTTTAGGAAAGAAATACATTTTAGAGATATTTGACACGAAATTTCCTGTTTTAAGTGAAAAATATTTGCCTTTTAAAGCTATTTAACATATTCTGGGAACCCCAATTCTAGTTTTCAATGTCGCATGCTGCAAAAGGCATTTGTTTTTTTTTTACTAAATTACAAAGAACAGCTAATTTAATTTCTAATAGCTCTACTAGTAACTTCAAAATAGTATCAATGACTAATGTTTTTATGCTTAGTAGCTCAATTTCGCCCTATTGACTTATCGATCTATCACCGAAAAGCAATAAAAAAAATACGAAATTCCAACTCTTGAAAATGCAGGCGAGAAAAAACATCGATTCGCAGGTTTTTTTGCCAAAGAAGAAAAATAGGGGAAATCTAGGATGCCGTGCAAATATGGATTTTCTTCGCCTTCTTTGTGCGTATATAACATTGCCAGTGTGTGATTTCTGGAATGTTCCCACATTTGCGCTATTTATAGCCATTGCAGTTCGTCTCCATCGATTTCCGGGGACGCACAGATTGTCGCATTTGCCAAGGGGTCCAACGATCCAAACACCAGCGGACGGGTGTGCATTATGTGGGGGGGTGTGGCGATGCAAATTTCGCCCTCGCGCGAGGGTGAGTCACACGCACACACGCACGCACTGTCGCCATTTTTCCCGCAGGCTACTGCTACTGTTTGCTGCTGCTGTTGTGTGTTTACCTTTAGAAGGTCTAGGAGGTACGGACTGGCGGCACAGAGGACAATCTTATGGGCAGGGAAGCTACGTCCACCGGCGGCCAGTGTGCAGTCCACCAGGTCGCCGTGGCATCGGAGCAACTGCACGGCGGACACGAGAGAAGTGCCGTAGTCGCCCCACGTCAAGCTGTAGAGAGAGTTCAGCGGGAGCGACATTTTTTCCGTCGCGCAATCTTCTCTGCTCTTCTGTAAGAGACTCCTTTGCTGGTTTGGGCGCTTTTCTTCACAAGTTCTGGGGGGCAAAAAGAGAATCGCGGATCCGCTCTTTTCTCTCAGATCCCAATACACAACACACGAGAAACTCTTCTCTTGAGTACACACACACGCTCTTGCGGGCGCACTTGCTCCACTTTATCCACACAACACACCACAGATCGCTCTCTCTTGCACAGAGTATAGCCAGGAAGTGGCCACGGAACAATTCTACTCGTGGCGCCCCAGCAACACTTCAAGATGCCCAAAATTGCTCAGCAAAAAAGGTTCACCAAAGTGATTTTTCCTTTGCTCTGCACCGTCCAATTTTTTCCTTCGCTGTCAAACACTGTGTTGTCCCAAAAAAGTGGGACAACTCTCGCTCGCTCTCTTTCTCTCTCTCTTTCTCTCGCGCCAGTGTATCCAAAATTCGCGCCGTTTTACGCCATCCTCTCTCTCTCTCCCTCTCTCGCGCGCGCACGCTTCACTCTTGCGCTCTCCCGCGACAGCCCCAAAAATTATATACGCCTTTTGTGTTGCACTTTATGCTCTTTCAGAGCCCACTTTAATGACAACTTTTTTGCAATCTTATAAGCTTTTGAGAATTCAAAGCGTGGTGGTTTAATTCTTCATGCTGAAGTTTTGCGTGAAATCGTACTCGATGGTGGGAATCACGGTCTGCACGAATTTCAGGAAGATTATCAAATACATGTGCACGCCCAACTCGCCGCCGCCATCCTCCACGGTCTGGATGATTTTCTTCATAATATCAGCATGCCTGAAATAAAAGGCAGAGAGTGGAAAGTCAATGGTTGCTTCGTCTTAGGCCAGTACAAGGCGAAATTAGGTGACTTAAGTAGCTAATCTATAAGAACAAATGGAGAAATTGGAACTATAGTACATACAAAAAAGCCCTTTAAGCCTCCAAACGATAGTGACAGGATCTTAATAGGTAGGAATTTATTTCCGTTTTTCACGGATTTTCAAAGTTTTTTTTGTATTAGAGAGAATTGTGTTTTGAATGAACTTGTCATTGTCAATAAATGATTAAGACTAACAATAACTTTATAAAGAAATTTCATATCATTTTCTAAAGAATTTCCTTATAAAACTACACTTGAAACTGTTCTTTTCGGAAAACAGTGTATAAGAGCACACAGCGAGAGCCGATTGCCTTTGACCTTCAACTACTGCTACGAATTGACCGATAAATGCAGCGATAATGCGACCAAAAAAAGAAGGAAAGAGAGAGACTTACTTGCAGGGATGCACAGAGGCCATGTTGGGACCCGGCAAGTGCGGGTGTGACTCCATCGTGACGGTCTTCTTGGCGTGATCCTGGCTCACGTCCTCGTACATCTGCTCCATGGTCAGCGACTTGCGGTTCTGCAGGCGAGTCAACAAAAAGAGGGAGAATTACTTGGCTTTTGTAGCCAATTAATAAACTTAATGAAATCACCTCGTCGTAGCCGACGACCCAGAGTCTCGGCGTCTGGTAGTATTTGTCGTAGGAGATGTGCAGATCGTAGGTTCTTGTGTGTACCACGGAGTCTCCGTCCACCTCGGCGGATGTCGACGTTTTTGGCAGCTCGGCTTTCCGCGCCTTTGTCGCCGTGGCTGGATCTACGCGCTCCAGCATCCCACTCTCCTCAAACTCTTCCATATCGCCCGCCTCCTCATCATCCTCGTCGTCATCCTGAGTATTTTCCGCGTCCTCCATGGCTTCAGCTTTCCCGTCCAGAGTCATCTCAGACACCTTCTCCTCTACGCCGGCAGCGCTGGACTCATCATAGTGATGTGTCTCCACCCAACCACCTTCCTGGTCATCCTCCTCCACCATCGTCTCCTCTCCCACGTATTCGATCTGCTTGCAACGCCGATAACACGGTACGTTGCGCGTGATGAGGAACTGCTTGTCGCGCGGCAAGTAAGGCTTCACTTTTCCCTCATCGCCCATCGCCCACTGCCAAGTGGGGCAGTGATGCACCAGATGATCACCAGCTGCCACGAATTCCTCTGGCGTCAGTACGCCAGTCTCGCGGAACTTTGACTCCTGTGTGAGAAGAGGAGAGACGTGTGTGAATCGATCCTATCACAGAATATGACACAATACCCACCTTGAGGATTGGCGTCAAGTATTCAGCCACTCCCAACGCCGTTCCCTTCACCGAATTTATTACACTCTGCATGCTAATTGGTACTACAGACTTCACTGGGCCACTTTGAGTGGTCACACGAGAACTGGATGAGGGAATTTCTACGCAACAAGCCCAATTTTATCAGCACTGTAAAACACAAAGCCACAATGTTTTTCCCATTGACAGCTCCCTTTTCTTGCATCAGCGCCGCTATGTGTCTGGTCACCTAATCAATGTCGCCGCTTCGACTCACCCTCCAAACGTGTGAAGGTGCAATTTTCAAGGCATGTAAGATTTTCAAATGTCTAAATAATCTAACGGGACTTCTCGAACAATTCGAAAGCTTTTTTAGCTCATTATCAAATAATTCTTCCTCTCATACTATCCTCTTATTTTCAAGAGATCTCTTAAAGTCACTTGCTAGGGTTTCAATTTATATTTTTCAATAGATTTTTTTTACATATAGTAACATTCAATATAGGAAAAACGATTTTTTGTCTCTCCCAAAACGTAAATATGCTACAATTTCAGACTGGTATAAAAATAAATCTTCACCTGGTATATTTGAAACTAACATAATAAGATCTCCTAAACGGAAAAAAGTCCTGTTGTGTCCATTAAACAGACTTTCCTTTCTTTTAAATACAAACACCCACTTTGGGCAGTTGTATTAAGAGTAAATATGTTATTAAATAAATCTCTAGATACTCTGCATTAAATCTTAAATCTTTCTTATAAATATTATTGTCACTTTTGCGCGAAGAAGCTTCACACGATCACATTGGAAGAACCGAAAGAGGGTAACAAAGAGAGAACACATCGAAGACACAATTTCCTTCCAATAGTGCCAGAATTTTGTGGTTGTATTCGACGGCGACTTGCTTAGACGTCCGTGTGCTGGTTCAGCAATTGCCACAAACTCGTGTACGTGCCAAAGAAGAAGCCACAGATGCCGAAGATCATGATGGCGAGATCCTTCCAGAGGATCCAATAGTAACGTCCCAGATCCGTCGGCCAGAATGTCACAATCTCAATGAGCGGTGGGAAGATCAGCGCCAGCATCGAGCTACTCATGGCGCCAACCAGAGAAATCACACCACCGAGATTCGGAATGATTGCCGCCAGGATGACTACAGAGACAAGAGAAAATGTACAATAACACTCAGGTAACACAAAATTGCTTTGATATCGATGGAATGCAAAATAAATTCCTTTGAAATTCATGAATTCGAATCATAAATACTTAAGAAAATTCAATTGATAAAAAAATTTACTAATTCATATTTTTTACGAGGAAAAAACTTTAAAGTCAACCAAAAAATTGATTTTTTTTTTAAATAAAAAAAGCAATTTCTCATTGAAAAAAATAATAATTTTTTAAAATGTCAAAAATTAAGAAAAGAATTATTATTTTGCCAATATTGAAAATTTTAGAACAAATTTATGTACAATTTTTGTACTCTTAACTTAAGAGAAATATAGGCAAAAATATTCCGATTTACACTTTTTCTATTTAAATAAATCTCAATGAATTAATTGACCAAAACTGATCTTAACAATTTCAAGGAATTTCAATAGAATTAAGCAAGATTTTAGAAAATCAAAGCAATCAAATATTGACAAAAAGTTGTATAAGAAATTGTCTGATTAGACGTAGTGTCGAAGCAGATTTGCTCGACTTACATGTAAAGACAACCAATCCAATCCTGAACGAGTGTTCAGCATACTGCTTGTGCTGCTCTGACTGGAAGTGATTTTTCACCCAGGGCCCAATGATGTTCACCGGCACGTAAAACTGTAAGCCGTAAGAGAAAAAGATCGCCACCGCCATTACGATGCGTACTGATTGCGCGAGCCTGAAAAACGTTGGAAATTGTAAGATAAATGAGTTGAATAAGCAAATTGATTCTACGTGAGAGTTCTCACATTGTGTTAGGCAAATCCAGAGTGATGCTGCCGCTGACAGAGTCTCCGTACTTGAGATAACCGAAGAAGCCTACGGCTGTGTATAGACACGCCACGATAACCATGCCCGTGTTCAACACGCCCGTCCAGCCGCCCAGATCCTCTGGTGTGCCCATGTTGTTTTCCAGCGGTAGGACAATCCCAATGCCCTCAAACGCATAGATCGCCGTGCCGAAATACAGCGGCAGCTGTGACCATGTCGCAAAACCGTGCACACTTGACGTCGGCGGCAGCTCTTGCAGCACGTAGTAGAACGTGATGGACAGGCCAGAGACCGTGAGGACAGCTGCCAGTAGCGACACTGGGGTGAGATACTTGAGATTCCGCACCATGTTGAGCGCAATCATCGGCATGAGGATCAACACCAGGTACACCCGCACGTCCACTTTCGTGTAGTAGCGTGCAATTACCTCCTGCAGATTCAGCGCCACAAACAGGAAATACACACAGCAGAACCCTAGCTGCGTAATGCACAAGAAGATGTTGATCACCACACGCACGAGTTGTGCGTAGCGTCGTAGGCCAAAGGGTCCGGTCACGAATGCGGCACAGCATACCTCGGAGAAGCCCAGTGATGGTATCTGTAATCGGCGGCAGAGTTCGTGAGAGCAACGCACCAGGATGTGCATGCAGTGCGTGCAAATGGCGCCCATTAGTAGCGTTCCAAAGAGTCCTGCCGGGAGGAGAGATGCTCAATTAGTTGTTCAATTAACATAGTAATTAGTCTTCTATCAATTTGTTCAGTTAATATCTTAACTTAAGGAAAAGTTCACTTTATATGATATCTTAACTTAAGATTTTTCTGATATGTGCTTGGATTTTGTCCATATCATTTGACTAGAAAATTTTTATGAAGATGCTTAAAATAAATCAAAGAAGAATTTTTGTAAAGAAAAAGACGTGAAATAAAAAAGGAAAGGAAAAATTTAAAAATTATTTTATATTGTTTTTGAAATAATTATTAGGTCATTTCAATTAATTAACAGCAGTCTGATTTTTTCTTATTTCATGAAAGTCATTCACATTGCAAAACTTTGTTATATTTACATAAATGATTAATCACACTTTATCGCATGCTTTTTCCAACCAGAGCTAATTTACTCTTTGTGACGCGAATTTCTTTGAAGCTGCGAGATAAGTGAAATTCCTTTGAGCGCGTATTTCTTATTTAGTGCAACAAAAAAAGCTGAGCTTTAACTTTTTGACCCACATTTCCGAGGTGAACGTTTCATAAGTGGCAAGATTGTTTATAAATTATAAAATTCAACATATTTTTGCATCATTCTCCTCTGTTCCGCGTACAGTGACTCATAATTAATAATATATCAAGAAAATAAACAATTCTATATTCTATCAATTTTTCTTAACCTCTCAAAAATATCAAAAAACATACAGACAAATGTCACTATAAAATACTATTCTTGTAAAGTATAAGAGCCATAAGAAGTGCCATTGTCAAACACACACACTTAAGAGAGGCGGCTTTTATCGGCTTCAGAATGTAAATCTGGTTTTCAAATAGCTCAGCGTTGACCCATTGAAAAGTTCATTCAAAGATAGTCTCTTGGACGGTGTGTTATCTGAAGAAATTCCATCATCTCAGCGGCTTTTTCTGCGTCGCACTTCACTTTTTCCCCATGAGACAGGAACTAATTATGTAATTGTGATTCAATGTAGCATCTTTATTTACACATAAGAAGACGCGAGTAACTCAGAAAAGCATGCGTTATGGGGAGATCTAGATTAGATTAGCTTAGAAGGGGGGGGGGGGGGGTAGCGTAAGATAATTCTCTCTTCTCTCTCTTATGCCACATAGCATAGCTGCTAACCAAGGCCAACTGATATGCCCCTTTTATGCATCCCCAGGAGCAGAGCAGTTCCCACTTAAGGGCTAAGACCACAAAGACCAATTTTCACCACCAAGTCATCCACAGATTCTATTCTTTTTAGTTACCTTTTCAAGACCACAGCTTGTGGCCTTGTGACTTTCATTCATTTTTATTTTTTATTTTATGTCGTCGCGCCCCTCCCCCTCCCGTTATCCTCTCCTCTGAGTTTTTCCCACTCAGAGAGGCAAGGATATTTCACAAGTGAGCCAGTTAAATTCACAGACTTAGCAGAGCTTGGCCTTGAGCGTATTTGCAGACAATATATCCAGCCCTATTTTTACGAGCGGTATCAACCAGTCTAGTATTGTTCCCCATCTATAAGTAAGGACAGAATGCGAAGAAATAACACTTCCACAGAAGAAGTTTCTGACTTTAAGTTGGGAACAATATTTAAAACAGCAACCTTTATAATATATAAATATATAAATATTTTGGGCTGGAATTTATATATTATTTGCCATTGAAAGAAAGGCTTAATATTTTTCGCATCTGCTTGTTGTGTTCGATAATCATTTGCAAGTGATGAGGATCGAACACACGACCGTGATTGTTCTCAGTCCGGCACTCTACCGACTGCACCACGGCCGCCTCTGGAGAGAGATACTAAGCGCACTGAGACTTACCAACATATAGTCCTGCATTCTTGAAGGCGTCTGGCATTGCCAGAATGCCTGTACCAATGTTCCCCTTCAGCAAGTGAATCAGCGTGTCGAGATTCGATGTGGGATGCTCGAGTTTCCTGTTGGACCACGGATCATACATGCTCGAGTCGTAAAGGCTCTCCTTCGAGTCGCCCTCAACAGTCTCTTCTACAATCGTCGTCTCATTGTGCACATCCACGAGCGCAGATTCCGGCGACGTCCGGATGTCCGGTCGCGGCATCACGGCTGGCTGAGTCTCCGCCACAGGCTCGGCCTGTGACAGCAGTGGCTGGCGTTCTGTGGCCATTTTACTCGTTGGTTGCTGCAACAGGGAAAACACGGTAAGTTGAATGAAATTGTGAAATCTTAAAAGTAAAAAGAAAGATACTTGTTTTTAATCTAATTGGAACAATTGGAATAAACCCAGAAATGATCGTTACAGATGAATATTTTCAAAAATTAGACACGGCAACTTGATGGCGCCACTGCACTTCTCAATGAAAGTCAATGAAAGCATTATCATAATTCTCGGGATTAGTCACTATGTGGGCGCCTCTTTGTCTTCGCACGGCATTACAGATGCAACTGTGGACATTGCTGTGCAGCCTCTGCGTCTCACTGCGTGTTGACGAGGCCGAGATTGCGTCTCAGGCTGAGATTCAGGGGAGAGATTGTGCTGTCGACCACTTAATGAGCCCCAGATTATTGACACACACACTGTGAACTCTGGAAAATTCCATGCATTCAGATTTTTCCCTTCAACAGCCCATCTATGCCAGCATTCCTTACACTATTCACACTATAAGCTTCACTGAGAGCCTTAAATTTACCATGCAATTCTACTAAGATTTTTGAGTAGCATAGCATCGCAGTGTGCCATGATTGATTTTTGTATATTTGTCTGTGAGAACAAAAGAGAAAGGAAAAAATAGGAGGCAAAAGGGGGAAAACTCCCACAGAAAAGTAATAATTTCTGGGTGGAAAAAACACAAGATAAGGGCAGGCAATATAAAACAATTCTGATAAACTTACAGTCGTTGGAGAGAAATAAAGATTATTTAATGGCAATGCAATCAATTGAAAAACTTAATTGACACTCGCGTGTTTTACAGTATAAAGATTCCTCGAGGCTGTAGCGAAAACAAAGAAAACAGATAAAAAAGAATTGATCAATTGTATCTTGAAGTTCTGATCTCCACTAGAGACATTTATATTGATTTTCACTGCATTTTTGTGGCACTTTTTACCCACGAGATGCGCAAAAGGTGGGCTTTTCAATTACCTGAAGATTCTTCATTGGTGTATTTTCCATACTCGGAATGACTGATTCAGCACCAAACAATGGCCCAATTGGGCATTATGTACACGCGTCGCAATTACCCGACACTTGAAGACGAACGTGTGATTTTGAAATGCCTTATCAATTGAGAAAACTGGCGATTTTAGACGCACTTGCAAAACCAGAAGTCCGTTCTGCCAATTTTGACAGCTGTTTGATCGCAGCGACTCGCAACGGGTGATACAAGAAATTCTACTTCCCCTTAATTTTGTCCCAAAGCAACGCGCTGTCAGTTTTGTATTCAAACTTGAAGTCATATTATGGCATCGAAGTAAAAGACGGCCGTGGTGCAGTCGGTAGAGTGCCGGACTAAGAATATCACGGTCTTGTGTTCGATCCTCATCACTTGCAAATGATTATCGAACACAACAAGCAGATGCGAAAAATATTAAGCCTTTCTTTCAATGGCAAATAATATATAAATTCCAGCCCAAAATATTTATATATTTATATATTATAAAGGTTGCTGTTTTAAATATTGTTCCCAACTTAAAGTCAGAAACTTCTTCTGTGGAAGTGTTATTTCTTCGCATTCTGTCCTTACTTATAGATGGGGAACAATACTAGATTGGTTGATACCGCTCGTAAAAATAGGGGCGGATATCGCGTCTGCAAACATGCTCTCAAGGCAAGGCCAAGCTCTGCTAAGTCTGTGAATTTGACTGGCGCGGCTCTCTTGTGAATATCCTTTGCGCGCCCCTCTGAGTGGGAAAAAATCAGAGGATAACGGGGGAGAGAGAGGGATGAATGAGGTATATATATATATATATATATATATATATATATATCAATGAAAAAGTAGACACAAGACCAAAGAAAGCTGTGTTATAACCTCTTACCTTACACCTTACCGTCTGAAAGTAATCAAAAATCTTGGATGACTGTGTTGATTAGTGGGGGGGTGGGGGGGGTGGTTGGCTTTGTGTCTTGGTCCCTTAAGTGGGCAACTGCATCCTGGGGCTGCATAAAAGGGCCCTGTCCGTTGGCCTGGATGCCGTGGCATATAAGAGAGAGTTATTATCTCTTACCACTAACCTACCCTACCTACACCACCCCCTCTTCTAATCTAATGGCATCGAAGTCATTGAAAACACAGGGTTAGTCGCCGTGTATAATAGACCCTTCACACTGAAACTGCTTTTGTGATTTCCTGAAAAAAAGTCTTCAGGAGTTGCTCCTCTTTTATAGGTCAGGTATCCTATTTGTATTTTACAGGTGAATCCAAATTTTTATAGTTTAAACACACATACAAAGGACGTCTTTTTTCGTGCCATTTTTTCCCTAGATGGCTTAGCGATACTAATGGCGGAAAAAACTTATTTTTTTTCAATTTCTTGGCTTCTAATGCGATAAGTTTCCAAACTTTTTAGTAGCTCCTTTTATCTTGCATCGTTTGAAGCAAAGCAAAGGCTTTCGTGGATCCACTGATAACCTATAAAAGTATTTGTGTAGTGATTTTCTAGTGTAATTTTATGCTGGATACCTGAGTAAAGCTCTGTAGGGAACTGTTGAAGAGGTTGAGAGCAGTTAAGTAGAGTGATCTCTGACTCCTCAGGAGGATCAAGTGATAGTATAACCTTAATTTCGGCGGTTGACGATACCATTGCGTTGAATACACGGCGAATGCCACTTCTTCGCCCTGAAAAGAGGGTTTATTTGCGGTAAATTGAACATACAAGCTTACAAATGCAAGTCAGTTCTCACTTCTTGTGTGATAAGACCGCCAAAAGAGGTGGAAACAAGTAACTGGATGAACGCACTCACGACAAACATCAAGTCGCGTATAATTTGGTTGCTCATCATGTGCTCGGACGCTTGAAACAGCACTGCACATATGATGAAGACAATGATGGAATAGGAGACAAAAAGCGATAAACTGATAACAGCTTCCATGTCTTGGACAAAAGAAATTGCCAAATTGTGTAGTTTGATGCAATCAATCAGGCGATACTTCGTCTGCCGGTTACCGTCTTTGATCAGAGAGACACCATCGTCTTCCTGGGTGTCATTATAATCAGTTTCTGCGAGCATGGCTCGCAAGTCTTGAAAGCAGGCTGACATGTGAATGATGGCACCGAAGAAGAAAGTGTCCATGCACAAGACATAGAGCAGCGTCCAAAGGATATTAAAGCAAACTGCTGTGTAGGTAATCTTGTAGCCTGGATTTGGAGAAATGTCCCAGGGAAATCTGAAAGAAAGACCATAGGTTATCTGAGAAAAACTTGTTGAAATTGTAGAAAAGCTTACTTTGCTGCTATTGGCAAATTCCATGAAATCTCCTCAATTCCGATCAATTTTTGATACAGAGCGAGTTGAAGAGGATAAAGCAGGTAGCCGAATGTGAGGAAGGTCATAAATCTAAGGTAATATTTTGTCAGATTGTTTGACAGGTTATCCGCTTTCAGATAAAATTCTCCGCGACCTAAGAAAATTTCTGCAAAATGACAAATGAACATAATTACAGCTGGGCGTAGCTTGCTGTACCTGGAATCGCGCTAAACATAAAAACCCGCAATATATAGCAAAATGGCATCAGGGAGGCTTCACATCATGAAATATGACGAAAATGAGTAAGGTCGCATTTTTTTTGGGTGCCGTCCGTCGGTCCGTCCGTCGGTCCTTCGTAAATGGACTAGTGGAGCCTAAACAGAAGGAGATATCGACATGCGGTTTTCATCAAAGGTTGAAAGTTCTACTACCGCTAGAGAATGGTGATATCAAATCCAACCCCCCACCCCTCCGTCCGCCATTTTTACCACCCCCAAAATATACATTCCTCAATTTTTCAGCCCCTATGGCATGAATCGGCCTCAAATTTGAGTATGTTATAGATGACCTCAAGACCTTTCCAACGAACCACCACTTAAGGACCTAGGACCTTCCAGACCCTAGATATTAGGGGCCAAATTTCAAAATTTAAAACGGCTATAACTCCGCTTCTAATTAACCGATCGCAATGATATTGTATTCATTGGAAAGGTCTCGTAAAATGCCATCTCCCACCTAAACAACATAACTTAGTAGGATTACCGCTAGAGGGGCTAAAGTCAATAAAACTATTTTCGAACTTTCAATATCGTATAACTCGGAATAAATATTATAAAATTTCTTTAAATTTTAGTATGTTATAGCTGAGGACGAGACCTTTCCAACGATACCCTATTTGTAGGGCTTGATGTTTTAGGAGCAGAGATATGGAAGGTCAAATTTCACACTTTTACTGGCCCATATCTCCGCTGTTTACCAACTGATTTTGATCATGTTTCCACCAAAAGATGTGTCTCGACACCCTTTAGTAGGCTGCATTTACCTTTAGGCTATTACGTCATAACGAATACCGCCATATTAAAAAAAAACTTTGAACGCCTGTATCTCGGCAAACCTCTCTTGCAAATTTAATGAGATTTTATTATGTTGTAGTCCAGGTCAAGACGTCTCTAAAAATAGGTTATAGTTTTTTGTGGATGCAATAGAACCGGAGTTATGACGATTTGAAGTTTTAATTTGAAATACGCTATAACTTCTGTTCTATTTATCCGATCCTAATAATTCAAAGCTCATTGGAAAGCTCTTGCAGAACTCTAAAACTATTTAGAACATCAGAAGTTCATCAGACCACCGCCAGAGGCGCTAATGTCAATAACAAAATTTTTGAAATTTTGAACTCGAAAATTTTGTTCCAAGGTCACACTTATTTGAAATAATTTCTTAAGGATTTTGATAGTCCAGATCGAGACGTTTCCAAAATGGGGTTATACATTTTTGTCACTGCCATAGAACCTGAGTTATGGCGGTTTGAAAATTTTCGTTTGAAACAGGGTTGGTCGAGTTGGCCGCATTGTGAGTTTGCGGCGCCCAGCTAATATTTAATATTTTAAAGTATTGTAATATTTTGTCAGATTGTTTGACAGGTTATCCGCTTTCAGATAAAATTCTCCGCGACCTAAGAAAATTTCTGCAAAATGACAAATGAACATAATTACAGCTGGGCGTAGCTTGCTGTACCTGGAATCGCGCTAAACATAAAAACCCGCAATATATAGCAAAATGGCATCAGGGAGGCTTCACATCATGAAATATGACGAAAATGAGTAAGGTCGCATTTTTTTTGGGTGCCGTCCGTCGGTCCGTCCGTCGGTCCTTCGTAAATGGACTAGTGGAGCCTAAACAGAAGGAGATATCGACATGCGGTTTTCATCAAAGGTTGAAAGTTTACACCGCTAGAGATGGTGATATCAAATCCAACCCCCCACCCCTCCGTCCGCCATTTTTACCACCCCCAAAATATACATTCCTCAATTTTTCAGCCCCTATGGCATGAATCGGCCTCAAATTTGAGTATGTTATAGCTGACCTCAAGACCTTTCCAACGAACCACCACTTAAGGACCTAGGACCTTCCAGACCCTAGATATTAGGGGCCAAATTTCAAAATTTAAAACGGCTATAACTCCGCTTCTAATTAACCGATCGCAATGATATTGTATTCATTGGAAAGGTCTCGTAAAATGCCATCTCCCACCTAAACAACATAACTTAGTAGGATCACCGCTAGAGGCGCTAAAGTCAATAAAACTATTTTCGAACTTTCAATATCGTATAACTCGGAATAATATTATAAAATTTCTTTAAATTTTAGTATGTTATAGCTGAGACGAGACCTTTCCAACGATACCCTATTTGTAGGGCTTGATGTTTTAGGAGCAGAGATATGGAAGGTCAAATTTCACACTTTTACTGGCCCATATCTCCGCTGTTTACCAACTGATTTTGATCATGTTTCCACCAAAAGATGTGTCTCGACACCCTTTAGTAGGCTGCATTTACCTTTAGGCTATTACGTCATAACGAATACCGCCATATTAAAAAAAAACTTTGAACGCCTGTATCTCGGCAAACCTCTCTTGCAAATTTAATGAGATTTTATTATGTTGTAGTCCAGGTCAAGACGTCTCTAAAAATAGGTTATAGTTTTTTGTGGATGCAATAGAACCGGAGTTATGACGATTTGAAGTTTTAATTTGAAATACGCTATAACTTCTGTTCTATTTATCCGATCCTAATAATTCAAAGCTCATTGGAAAGCTCTTGCAGAACTCTAAAACTATTTAGAACATCAGAAGTTCATCAGACCACCGCCAGAGGCGCTAATGTCAATAACAAAATTTTTGAAATTTTGAACTCGAAAATTTTGTTCCAAGGTCACACTTATTTGAAATAATTTCTTAAGGATTTTGATAGTCCAGATCGAGACGTTTCCAAAATGGGGTTATACATTTTTGTCACTGCCATAGAACCTGAGTTATGGCGGTTTGAAAATTTTCGTTTGAAATAGGGTTGGTCGAGTTGGCCGCATTGTGAGTTTGCGGCGCCCAGCTGACCATAAGCGTTCGCTTATCACACGTTTTTTCTTGTCAAGGAAGAGCAGTTTATACTTTAAGTCTAAGGCAATCAATTCTTAATTCAAAGTAAATATTCACCACATTCTTTTTACTTATTCTTTGCCAAATAAAAAGTTTAAAAAAAATGCCAAGATACAAAAGAGGTTACAAAAAGAGTTTAGCGAACACTGAAAAAACTTTTATCTTACTGTTGTTGACATTGCTTTCCATTGCGAGAACGAATTTCTGGATTCTCTTGTTGTGGTAGAGAAAGATGACGCACCGAAGGAAATTCATTACGTACTGACTGAACAAACTGAGGACGTCTGAGAAGTCGGCCAAGTCTTGATCCGTTTGGAAAAAGTAGGGCAATTGAAAGCAGCTGATCCAAGTGGAATTAATTAGGCTCACGATTGTAACAATCTTGTACCACCATTGAAAGTGATTGGTTGGCATTAAGCCGCCAAAATATAGTAAGAATCGTGTCTCCTTCAGAATCTGCATTGTTGTGAAGGGAGATAAAGGAAAAATGGGGTATTTGGAAGAACTTTCACAGCTCTTTTATACCAAATCATATCCTTCTCCATTGACATGGCTAAAGGGAATATTTTATGTCGAGATGTCAATCGCATTGCGATAGTCCCACAAGTTGATTGACAACTTCTGTCCATGACTATTTATTAATTACTGCGCTGCTTGATAGTACAGAGCTACTCTGTTGGAATCTAGGGAATTTATATTTGTCGCCTCCGTGGAGGATAATTGATCTGCAATTTTGTATCCTCCATCATAGTCGTAGTCATAATTGGTGGCGTAGGTGGAGGAGGGGGCGGTGTTGCCGTACTCGTAGTTTCCCGCCGGATCGATAGCCGTGGCCTTCTTTGCGCCATAAGGATTGAGCGAGGCCTGCAGCTGGCTGGCGGATACGACTGTGATGTCCTGGAACGGTGAGGCTGGTGTAGTTGACACGAAGCTTATCCTGGGCGGCGGTACTGTCGTCGTCTTGACGTAGTACGACGTTGGCTGCAGAATCGAAGCTGACGTGGTGGGCGCGACATTAACGGACGCTCTGGAAACTGCCTCAGGCGGCGCCACATTGTAGTTCTGGATTTGGACATTTGACAATGGCACACTGCCGTATGGCGTAGCTGGTGTCGGCGGCGCAGGCTGTCCGATGTAGAGGTTGTAATTGAAGCTGCGCTGATGCTCGCTCTCCGGCGGATCTGGTGTGAAGCCTTTGAGGTAGTTGAAGGTCGGACGAGGCGCCGGCAGCGCCGGAAGCACTTTATCCTCGTTATAGGACACGTCAGCGTGATAGCCATTGTCGTCTGCTCGGTAGCGCACAATCTGCGTCCGTCCGTCCGGCAAGTGGACTTTGTAGCTGCCGCTGACAGCGCCATCTTTCTGCTGCTGTGTGTGAGAAAAATCATCGCCAGACGCGGCATCCTTGACGGAATACGAAAAGGCGAAATTTTTCTTCTGCGAGGAGTAATCCTAGAAGAAAATACACATATTAGCTTTTTTTTTAGGGGAATTTTCGAAAACAACTGCAAAGGATTTAACAATTTCAATCAATGCCGAGAAAATATTTTTTCTATTACAAACACAAACACTTGCATAAACAATTTTTTAGATCTCTCTGCAGAAGAATTAGTAAAAAAAAGAATTAAGTTTTAAAAGATCTCAAATATTTTGGGAATATCCATTTTTGTAGAATAACTACAACGTTATAAAATGTGAATTTTTACATGAATGTCCAATGAATGAAAGTGAATTAGGGCGGCTGTGGCTCAATGGTCAACGCGTTTGGCTCTCGATGCGACTGTCGTGAGTTCAAATTCCCACGGCTTGCACAAATTTTAGCACAGCAAAGGGTACAAAATATAAGCCTTTCAATGGCAATAAGCAGCACCCTCCCATATAATGATCGTTGCTGTTGAATGTTTCAGTTGAAACATACGCTTCACTGGAATTGTCTTACGCACAATCGCTGTATATATAAAGGTGGATGTTTAGGACTGCTCATGGGGTTGGGTCGTCGGCAAGCTGACAATTTACCAACGTAAAAAAAACAATACTTGTCAATGGGAGAGAATAAAATCCCCACACTCATTCAACGAATCTAGTGGCACGACAAAATAGGCGCGCGCACTCAATGGTTTCACCACCACCTTGTCGGTGTTCACTGCGACGAATAAGCCGTTTTCCCACACTTATCGAAAAAATGGGAGTGTGATATCGTCGCTCATCCATCGAATTCAGTGACACAGTGAGCCTCACGGTGGTGCCTTGTCGTCGGTCCTGCGATGGATAAGCGGTCGTCACACTCATGAAAACCTCTACGAATCTCTAAGAAAGTGAATTAACGTTAACATTTCTTTGTTCACGCACAACCACATAGTGGTATATTTATGCAAATTAATTGCCGCCTGTGAACATGCGGTGGATGAAGAACAATCAATCCACCGCTTCTTATGATACTCACGTCATAGATGTTGTCTTCATAGTCTAATCTCTGCTGAGGGCCTGGATAGAACTTCTTGCCGTGCCTCGAGAGTGTGATGTAGGTGGGAAGGATGTTGTTGTCCTGACGAGGGAGAGCATAAAAAACGGGGGGGGTTGTAAAACGGCGAAGGAGGATAAAAATAAACACTTCACTCACAATCCCGGCGAATCTCTGGAGACCCTTCTGGCGATTCCTTAGCGCCACGGCGGCATAGGGATGATTGTTGGGTCTGCCAGGGGTGTCTTGATTTGTGGGTGGGAACTGAATTGGTCCTTGGTTGAAGATACTCGTGGAGGCGGGTTGAATTTCGCGATCGAGGCGTGATCGATCGATGCCGTTTGTGGCTTCAAATGGGTGTGGATTGAAGTGTCTGGGCCTGAGAAAAGCCTCCCTCTCGGGCGTCTCCAACTCCGACAGCACAGCAAATCCACTACGCAGGATGTTAAGCAGCATCATAAGCTGAATGGTGGACACAGAACTGACACGAATCTTCACGCAGGACATTTTGGGTGATCGCACTGCACACTTTTTGTATTGTTAACAATTCCGCACCTGTGAACGAAACCGTGTGTCTTCTCGCAAAAAAAAAACAATGAGTGTTTATCTTTCAGGCCTGAGATGTCGCAATGTGATGTATTTTCTCAGCATATCACGAGGCCGCATTGACAAGACAACAGCATAATCATCGCATCATGCAGAATTGTTTCAATTCGCGTCACTTGATTGACTTGCAGGAAAGAACATCAAGCCATCATCATCTTCTTGTCCCGATACTTTTCAAAACACCGCCCAACAATAACAATCCACTTAATTGATCCCTCGCAATGTTCGTGATACACAAAGACACACACTATTAACCCACTGCGATCGACCACTGAACTAAGACTGTCTGCAGAGTCGAACTGTGGCCGCCTTTTAAAGACTCGCGCAGTTGCGAAAACCTTTTTCTCTCAATTGTTCCCCAAGTCAGCCAAGGTGCATTTTGGCGTGTATTTACAAGACAGACACACAATTGAGGGATTTTGCACAGCGAAGAGAGAGAGAGAGAGAATCAAACAGCGAATTCGGGCTCAGGTTGTCCATTCTGATGATCATGAATAACCCTCGCACGATCAGCAATCATCGCCAAATTGGAGAAAACTATTTACAAATTCTACATTTTCTAAGCCACGTTGTCAGTGTATTTAATTCAGAATTTTCTGCTGAAAAAGGACAAAAAAATGTGGATGAGCACACGCCTCGCAAGTGCTTATGGTATAGCTGGGATTTAAAATTTCTCCCTTCCATGGCCAACTCGATTCAGTTAGACTGAAAGAAAGCATGGATATTTTCATATGCAATATAAAATCAAATTCCTGAAATTCAAATATTTATAACTCAGGTTCTATGGCAGTGACAAAAAAGTATAACCCCATTTTGGAAACGTCTCGGTCTGGACTATCAAAATCCTTAAGAAATTATTTCAAATAAGTGTGACCTTGGAACAAAATTTTCGAGTTCAAAATTTCAAAAATTTTGTTATTGACATTAGCGCCTCTGGCGGTGGTCTGATGAACTTCTGATGTTCTAAATAGTTTTAGAGTTCTGCAAGAGCTTTCCAATGAGCTTTGAATTATTAGGATCGGATAAATAGAACAGAAGTTATAGCGTATTTCAAATTAAAACTTCAAATCGTCATAACTCCGGTCCTATTGTATCCACAGAAAACTATAACCTATTTTTAGAGACGTCTTGACCTGGACTACAACATAATAAAATCTCATTAAATTTGCAAGAGAGGTTTGCCGAGATACAGGCGTTCAAAGTTTTTTTCAATATGACGGCATTTTTTATGACGTCACAGACTGATGGTGAATGTAGGCTACTAAAGGCCGTCGAAACACGTCTTTTGTTGAAGAGGTGATCAAAATCAGTTGGTAAACAGCGGAGATATGGGCCAGTAAAAGTGTGAAATTTGACCTTCCATATCTCTGCTCCCAAAACATCAAGCCCCATAAGTAGGGTATCGTTGGAAAGGTCTCGTCCTCAGCTATAACATACTAAAATTTAAAAAAAATTTATAATATTCATTCCGAGTTATACGATATTGAAAGTTCGAAAATAGTTTTATTAAGTTTAGCGCCCCTAGCGGTGGTCCTACTAAGTTATATTGATAGAGTGATAGATAGAATTTTATGAGACCTTTCCAATGAACTCAGAATTATTGCAATCGGTTAATTAGAAGCTGAGTTATGTCCATTTTAAGTTTCAAAATGTAGGCCCTAAAATGTAGGGTCTGGAAGGTCCTAGGTCCTTAAGTGGTGGTTCGTTGGAAAGGTCTTGAGACAAGCTATAACATACTAAAATTTGGGCTCAATCCATACCATAGGGGCTGAAAAATTGAGGAAAGTATATTTAGGGGGTGTTCAAAATGGCGGTTGGAGGGGTGGGGGGTTGGATTTGATATCACCATTCTCTAGCGGTAGTAGAACTTTCAACCTTTGATGAAAACCGCATGTCGATATCTCTTACCGTTTAGGCCCCACAAGCTCGTTTGTCACGACGGACGGACGGACGGACGAACGGACGGACGGACGGACGAACGGACGGACGGACGGACGGACGGACGAACGGACGGACGGACGGACGGACGAACGGACGGACGGAAGGACAGACACGAAAATTAAAAAATGATTCCCCTCATTTTCGTCATATTTCGTCATTCTAAGTTTACCTGAGTCAATTTTGCGAGGTTCAACTTTTTGCGCTTTTACAGATATTAGCTGTGATGGAAATCCCAGCTATATAATAAGAATAAATGCCAAGTATTATGGAGGGATAAGGAAATTTATTTGAAACAAAAAAGCGCAGAACATTCATTTGAAATTCACACACATTTATTTTCAAAAATATTTAACATAAGTCTGAAAAATAGTTGAAATCATTCTAACTTTTGGTTCAATTTCTACTAAAATCTTAGCAATATTAAATATTAAAAACCTTAAAAGACACAATGGTGTAACTCAGAATATCAAAGAATTTTTTATTGAATTTATTTCAGAGAGATTTAATGCGGTTGAAATTGCTTACCAGAAAATTGACATTGCATTTGATATTAATTAAGGGAAAGTGAGTAAATGAGAGCACAATAGGAAAATCCGAATTTGACTCCTTGTATAAACATCATCAAGTTAATGTCATAAATTCCGGCTGCCTTGAAACCCAGTGAATTTCCGCAAATTTTCATCATCATAAGCATCAATTTCTGATCATTCAAGTTGAATTCATACCACTTGGTCAAGTACAGAGTGACAAAGATGCGTTCGGATTTCGTAAATATCACTTGTCCAAAGAGACAAAGTGCTCCAAATTGTGCAAATATCGCGAGAAGCAGAGGAAAGAGAGCAATTGCGCCAGGAATTTTGATAAGATAGAACACAAAGAGGAGAAAACCAAAACTCGTTACAGCTTGAACTGTTAAAGTGTAGGAGAAGACATAATTGAATGTGTCAAGAATGGTGAGAAGTTCACAGTGAAAAGTGTAGCACATTTTCACGAATTGACTCTTGTTTCTCAGCTTCGAATCGTCAAGGCAGGTAATCATGTCGTGAAAGATGTCCAGTGAACTGATGAAGTACAGTCCAATGCTGATAAGAATAGTGTCATAAAGCACAATTGCGATTGTCGACGGCATTATATTAATGGCTTGATTAATGTGTTGATAGATAAGAAATTCATTCTTCTGCGGAAGTCCAGGAATGGCAAAGATTAATAATCCGTTGAGAATTACGAAGTAGATTTCTCCAATTGCAACAATGACGAGAACAGGAATGGCAAGCCTAAAAATAGAAATTAATTTAAGTAATTAAATTCAATCAAGTCTCAACTCAAATTGTTAAATGTTAAGGCATCAAAGATGTAAAAGTTTTCACATGACAAATGAGGAAGGAAAAAATTGCACAATTTGTCCTTCATGCATACTTGAAAAATATCTGAATAATCCTGAGATTTCTGCTCAAGTGCTTTCCAACTAACGATGTAATCAAATCACTCTCATAAGCTTGATGTAAATTGTGAATCCACAAGAAGAGTGTCTTGATGCCATCGTCATTTGTCACAATTGAAAAGGATTTTCCAATGAGTTGCACAAAAGCCATGATTATCATAACTGACATGCACCAATCGATGATTGATTTATCAAAGTAAATTGTGGACAAGATTATTGTTGTTAATAAGTACAAATGTGACGCTGGGAAAATCAATTTTCCACATTTGCCAAATGTTTTGCGAGGTAAAAAAGAGAAATTCAGTATTATCAGGATAGATTGGAGAAATTTCTCCAACTTGAGATAGTTCACGTAACACTTGATGTACTTTGTCATGTTGACTAGAACCAATTGAATGAACTGGTTCTTTAATATCTTCAGCATATGAAAAACGCTCTCATGGCATTTTTTTTCTACTATTATAAAATATTCAGCAATTGAAGTTTAAATATTAAAGCTTTCTCAACGATCTGCGGTTATATTTATATTCAATCGATAACCGAGAAATTTTGAATTCTTTAGAACGTCCTTTAGGACGTGATAAGCGTACGCTTATGGTCAGCTGGGCGCCGCAAACTCACAATGCGGCCAACTTGATCAACCCTGTTTTAAACGAAAATTTTCAAACTGCCATAATTCAGGTTCTATGGCAGTGACAAAAATGTATAACCCCATTTTGGAAACGTCTCGGTCTGGACTATCAAAATCTTTAAGAAATTATTTCAAATAGGTGTGATTTTAAAATGAATTTTTCACTTAAAAAATATTAAAAATTTTATTATTGTTATTAGCACCTTTGGCGGTGGTCTGATGAACTTCTGATGTTCTAAATAGTTTTAGAGTTCTGCAAGAGCTTTCCAATGAGCTTTAAATTATTAGGATCGGATAAATAGAACAGAAGTTATGGCGTATCTATAATTAAAACTTCAAATCGTCATAACTCCGGTCCTATTGCATCCACAGAAAGCTATAACCTATTTTTAGAGACGTCTTGACCTGGACTACAAAATACTAAAATCTCATTAAATTTTCAAAAGAGGTTTGCCGAGATACAGGCGTTCAAAGGTTTTTCAATTTGGCGGCATTTTTTATGACGTCACAGACTAATGGTGAATGTAGCCTACTAAAGGGCGTCGAGACACGTCTTTTGTTGAAGAGGTGATCAAAATCAGTTGGTAAACAGCGGAGATATGGACCGATAAAGGTGTGAACTTTGACCTTCCATATCTCCGCTCCCAAAACATCAGGCCCCATAAGTAGGATATCGTTGGAAAGGTCTCGACCTCAGCTATAACATATTAAAATTAAAAGAAATTTTATTATATTTTTTCCGAGTTATACGATATTGAAAGTTCGAAAATAGTTTTATTGACTTTAGCGCCTCTAGCGGTGATCCTACTAAGATATGTTGTTTAGATGGGAGATGGCATTTTAGGAGATCTTTCCAATGAATACAATATCATTGCGATCGGTTAATTAGAAGCGGAGTTATAGCCGTTTTAAATTTTGAAATTTGGCCCCTAATATCTAGGGTCTGGAAGGTCCTAGGTACTCAAGTGGCGGTTCGTTGGAAAGGTCTTGAGGTCAGCTATAACATACTCAAATTTGAGGCCGATTCATGCCATAGGGGCTGAATAATTGAGGAATGTATATTTTGGGGGTGGTAAAAATGGCGGACGGAGGGGTGGGGGGTTGGATTTGACATCACCAAGTTTTAGCGGTAGTAGAACTTTCAACCTTTGATGAAAACCGCATGTCGATATCTCCTTCTGTTTAGGCTCCACTAGTCCATTTACGAAGGACCGACGGACGGACGGACCGACGGACGGCGCCCTAAAAAGGTGATCCCACTCTTTTTCGTCACGTTTCGTAATGTCACATTGATATATTTATATTGCGAGTTTTTGTACGTTGTGCGATTACAAGTACAGCGGGATTCATCGAGCTGTAATTTAATAAATTCTTTCAAGTGTTACGGAAAACATTCATGTTTTTTAGGAATTTCGAAAACATTTTAATATTTTTAGACATTGTTTATTAATCTTCTAAATTATGCACCATTTTTAGGGTATCTTTTTAAAAATTCAGCTGCTACATATTTTTGCTCACGCATATTTTAAGTATCTTTTAAAGTGGAAAATTTCTTTGCTTCAAAATATGCCTCAAAGCTTTTCTTGCCTTTGGTTTAATTCGAACCTTTTTTACAAATTTTTTTTACAATCTCCACATTTCTTTATATCTATTTCTCAGCATTAAGGAAGACAATTCTTCTCATGCTTTATATTACTGTACAAGTTACACTTTCGACCTGAGAATTGCAATCAACACGACAAATGTGGGATTTCAAGTCAAGTTCAGTGGCTATTCGTGATATTTTTCTACACACAATAAATAGAAAGAAAAAAAGATCGGAAAGAATTCTGGACTGGCAACTGAAGGTATATAATTTAGCGATAAAATAGGAGCAAGTGCTCGCCAAGAGCAAAGAATGACGCCCAATTGCGGCAATAGCGCGCTTGCGAATTGAGATATCCACGGTGAGATAGTGAAAAGAGGCGGGAAACCTGCGATTGCGGAACAATTTCAGACCATGATCCAGTATATATATTATATTGTGCTGCACATTTCCCGAAAAATTACAATTTATGCCACATTTTCCAGTTCCGATCATGAGTCGATAAATTGCGCGCGTTCTTTTGATTCTATTTCAGCTGGGCGATACCCGCTGTACTTGTACTCGTACAAAATACAATAACCCGCAATATACACCAAAATGTCATCAGAGAGGCTTAAAATCACAAAACGTATCACAAACCAAAGAGAGTGGGATCGCTTTTTTTGGGCGCCGTCCGTCGGTCTGTCGGCCTGTCGGCCTGTCGCAAATGGGCTTGTGACGCCTAAACGGTAGGATATATCGACATGCGGTTTTCACCAAAGGTTGAAAGTTCTACTACCGTTAGAAAATAGTGATGTCAAATCCAACCCCCCATCCCTCCAACCGCCATTTTGAACACCCCCAAAAAACATTTTCCCAATTTTCTCAGCCCCTATGACATGGATTGGGCTAAAATTTTGGTATGTTATAGCTGACCTCAAGACCTTTCCAACGAACCGCCACTTAAAGATCTAGGACCTTCCAGACCCTAGATATTAGGGGCCAAATTTCAAAGTTTAAAACGGCTATAACTCCGCTTCTAATTAACCGATCAGAATGATATTGTATTAATTGGAAAGGTCTCGTAAAATGCCATGTTTCACTCTAACATCATAAATTGGTAGGACCACCGCTAGAGGCGCTAAAGTCAAATAACCATTTTCGAAATTTCGACATCGAATAACTCAGAGAAATTGTTATGTTTTTGGTTTATATTTTAATATGTTGTAGCTAAGGTCAATACCTTTCCAACGATATCCTACTTATGGGGCTTGATGTATCGGGAGCGGAGATATGAAGGGTCAAACTTTTTATTTTAGATACCCTATAACTTCTGTTCTATTTGCCCGATCGTTACGATTTTGGGTTCATTGGAAAGCTCTTGCAGAACTCTACAACTATTTAAAACAACAGAAGTTCATCAGACCACTGCCAGAGACGCTAATGTCAATAACAAAATTTTTGAAATTTTTAAATCAAAAATTTTGTTCTAAGGTCACACTAATTTAAAATATTTTTACATGTATTCTGATAGTCCAGATCGAGACGTTTCCAAAATGGGGTTATACTTTTTTGTCACTGCCATAGAACCTGAGTTATGGCGGTTTGAAATTTTCCGATGAAAACAGGGTTGGTCGAGTTGGCCACATTGAGAGTTGGCGGCGCCCAGCTGACCATAAGCGTTCGCTTCTCACTTTCTTTTGCTACATATATTGAACTGCGCCTGTGTTGCTAAGGTCAAAGTTGATCTATGATCCCTCGTGACTTTCAATTGCCCAGCAATTTTTTATCCGTTATTGGGTGAGAGATGGAGGAATGCGAGATAAGACATTTTCGGCCTGGATGATTGTGTGTCTGGGGCGCACGTGAGAAAGTGCGCTGAAGGTGAAGCTCGTGGTGTTGCACAAAAAAGTTGATCGTCGATGGATTTGAAAGACTTGTCTTATCCGCCAAAATGAACAAGGGCCATAAATTTTTGCATATAGAGATCACGCCACAATGAAGATATTCGCCATTGATGGCGCGGAACACCAATGTGGTCGCAAAAGTAGCAAATTACAGTCATTGTTACACTTAAATTATAGTGCTATTATGTCCCTAATAAGGTACAAATGTACTCCACGGCGATAGTCAACATTTCCCAAAACTGTCCGCAGGCCTTTTCCGTATTGCAAGCCACAAACACCACTCAATTTGTATGGGAGACACTTGGCGAAAAACTGGTGGCATTTTGCATTGATGGTGAATGATTCATTTGGACCAACAGGCGGAACAGAGTGGAAATATGCGTGACTTTAGCAGAAGGAATTGGTCGCAAATGAAATGCATACAATTGGGAAACGTCCTAATTGCTCATTTGCATAAATGATTGTTAAATTGAAAGGTCGCGATTTGCAAAAGTACTTTAATTTGTATACAAAATAGCCCAAGTTAAATATTGCTGTAAAATTGTTACTTGATTATTTTTGCTCTGTTCCTAAAAAAAACATCACTTCAGCACGTGTACGAAATGGCAAAAATGTAATTAAGCATTCAATCTTCTGCCACTTTTCTCACCATTTTTCATATCATTATTATATTATTTATTTCATATATATTTGAAAAAAATTTAATTGGAACAGTAAAAGCAGCAAATATGCTGTGAAATTCTGTGGTAAAGTCTTTCCCATCAATTAACAGAAGTTATTTGTGTATGAAAAATTAATAGCAAAAATTTCACACGAAGAAATTCTTCTTTATTCAGTACAATTTGCCGAAAATAAAACCCATTGCATACGCAACAAAATTGACTGTTTTGCAGACCTTCAAAATTGATGTCTTTACAAGAAAATTAGATTTTTGTGCCCACAAAGAATAATCAACTTCTTTCGCAAAAGCCACCAAATGTGAAAATTGTGAGTCTTTTTCACGACTTATGATAGTCAATATTCTTGTTTTTTTTTCTTATTGTGTTGAG